CATTGATTTGGATATTGGTATTCTATATGTACTATAGATATTATATAGAGAATATATATATATATTATGTTTATATATAATTATGTATATAATACATAATATTGTTATACATTATATTATATTAGTATATAATATATATATATTCTCTCTCTATATAATTATATATTATATTGTATTATATTAGTACATTATATAGTATATAGTGAAAGTTGATTGAGTAGGCTATAACTTGATTCAGTTGGGCCAAGAATGTGCAGACTAGTTCATTCTCTTTCTAGTCTTTCGACCACCATTGCAATATTATCATTGATTTGGTATATTGGTATTCTATATGTACTATATATATATAATTATATATTATATTATATTAGTATGCTATGTTAGTATATTATATAGTTTATACTGAATGTTGATTGAGTAGACTATAACTTGATTCAGTTGGGCCAAGAATGTGCAGGCTTATTCATTCTTTTTACGATCATTGGACCACCATTGCAATATTATCATTGATTTGGTATATTGGTATTCTATACGTACTATATATATATAATTATATATTATATTATATCAGTATATCATGTTAGTATATTATATAGTTTTAAGTGAATGTTGATTAAGTAGACTATAACTTGATTCAGTTGGGCCAAGAATGTGCAGGCCTGTTCATTCTTTTTCCGATCATTGGACCACCATTGCAATATTATCATTGATTTGGTATATTGGTATTCTATACGTACTATACATATATAATTATATGTTATATTAGTATATTATGTTAGTATATTATGTAGTTTATAGTGAATGTTGATTGAGTAGGCTATAACTTGATTCAGTTGGGCCAAGAATGTGCAGGCTTATCCATTCTTTTTCCAATCATTCGACCACCATTGCAATGTTATCATTAATTTGCAAGTGCGAACAGAGTGGTGATGTCGTGTTGTAGCATGGACTACTCAATCAATCCAGGGATAGATTGAATAAGTAATAGTCCTTGCGATTGATGCAGTACATTAGCCCATGACTTTACTTAGTAGCCAACTAGCATGGACTACCAGGAGAAGTGCTAACGGACTTGGAAGACTGCTGTTATCCACTTTACTGTAAGCTATCTGCGTCAGATTTGGATAGTCCAAGGTAGAAGAGAAGACTTCGTATCGTCAAGCCAGATATAAAAATCACCTTCACGATCGGACAGACAGACCATCGACACACTTGCCGGGTGCACGCACGCTCCAAACAACAGCTAAATTAAATCTCATCAAGTCTCGGTCGCCATTTGCATCCGAGCATTCTATCTCAGGCTATTAATGGCAATTTGACTGATTTTAAATGAGAATATTGATGAACAATTGCAGCTTGTATTGGCAAGTTTAATGGAATAAACTAATAGTGGATTGGATAGCCACATTTTCAATCACCATTTGCCCACAACAACCTATTGTCATCCTGTTGCCTTTCCATGCCTTTTTTAAAATTTGCCGGGCTTTTTTACTGCAGCTAGAGATATTTCAATTTGTCCATTTTACAACTGCAATTTTACCTAGTAAGTTGATCACAGACACCATCCATGAACAACGTCATCGTTGAAGCCAACGTGAACGCTAAATGGAGTGGCTTTAAAGAACTAGGATCGGCGTGGAAGAATTATCATTTACAAATTATCAAATTAGCGGGAAAATTATGTTGTCAATTGAAAGCCATCCATGACGTGGAAAAAAAATTTGTGGTAACTACATCAATAAGAATGATCATAAAATTGTTCCCTTGTAGTCCATGTAGAATGTTAGTAGGAATAAACCGTCTTAGTCTATGAAGAAAGTCATTATCGATTGATCTATCTCTATCCATACTCACAGTCTGTAGACATTGCTGACATTCAAGGGATTGATTGCTATAATATCCATTGAATTTTCAACGCGGCGTTGTCAATAATAACATGATGTTGCTGACGAAAAATATCTCCTTTTTTGCTTGTTGTTTCGCTAAAGTAATATCATATAGTGCATTCTATACTTGTACCATGTTAGTGTTGCCCATAGCGAATCTCATCCATGACGATGGCATCGACTATGGCTTGTTCGTACAGACCTGTGCATGTTTCGAAGCAAAGAGTAGTACGAGAGTGAAGACAGAGAGTAAACATCCACTATTAGCATACAGTAGACTGCCTACTAAGCGCTGCCTAAGATTAGCAAGGTGCAAGTTTCTTTCTAGTAATCTAGGCTGGATTGTTACCCTCGGATAGTGTGCTAGAACATTTACACCATGACCATGCTCTCGACTAGGCTTCATCAAGAAGAACGGTAGCATAGATTAACACCTTCACCACTACGTCTTCCTGACATTGGGATACCTTGAATACGATCGCAATGGATCATGACAAGGACGCTTTTTCTAGTAAACCCTTGCTCAATTCCACTCGTATTCACACAATTTGACCTAATAAACTGATTAGATGAACCAATTTGCTGGCATGATATTATTTCAATCACCTTGCTGCAGTAAACGCAGACAGCAGTGGACGAACACATTCCTCGAAAATATTAGCAACTTAATACATAGCCATGAGTCAATAATAACACTGTATAAAACATAAAATGAACGCAATCGCTCGACTACATTCTACTTAAAGGGTTGCTTAAAGATTTCAAACATCAAAACTATTACGCAGTCTTGCAATTCTCAACCACATGCTTAATTCATGCCTAGAATACATCAGTGAATCGACATGTGTTGCATTTCTGTCCTATATTGCCCAATTCAATTTGCTTGTACCGGTTACATTGAAAATATCATTTCTACTACAATCTAGTTGTCAGGCAACATCAAATCGGTGACCCACTCGGCATCTGGTTGTATTATTTCTTTACAAGATCAAAATCAAATTGTCTTACGATGCCATTCCAAAAGTGGTCATAATGAGTTGGATAAGATTGTACACACATTACGAGATATACAAGAAGGGAAATTAAAAGGTAGGTGCCACTGTATTGATCTTCAATATGCAACAAGAGTTGAAGTAATTTACTAATGCCATACGTGTTATTGAATCCTATCCGTAATGTAGCATGTGGCCTAATGTCCGCTCGTGAAAGGTCAAATTGTTCAGATCTTATGAATGTTGCCAATTCGCCCAAGATGCACAACAAAGTACGTTCAACATAGACTTAGCAATTCTATCTTGGATATTCTTCTTATTGCAATCTGGTAAAAATTCTAATTCAAACAACGCATATTGATAGGCTTTAGAGTCATTCAATGATCAGTCTTTAATAACTACTACTGTATCTAAACGCAACTGGGATCGTTCAGACAGCAGCAAGATCAATCATGCTCGTCATTATTTGGTATCGTCTGCAGCGGCTAGGTAAAATGAGGCAATCATTTGTTACACTATCTTCGTATCCTGACAGTGATGCCAACTTTAAATTCTTAATTGCATTCTAATTTTGGAAAGCATTTGAAAGATCGTTAAATGTAGACTTGTTTACGGCTAAGCATGAGCGATTGGCGTTTATGTAGATCCTCACTACTTAACGTTTGATAAAATGAATCTCTTTATTGAATTATGGGCTCAGTGATAGGTCTTCAGTGAATGCTGTTCCTGCTCAAGAAAAAAATGGAGCTACCCCACCTTCTCTCAAATTAAAGACCAAGACGAATCGGAAAGCTTTGCACTCTATCGACCAGAATATCCGTCGTAATGTATCACCGCTGGCAAGTCAAGTTGGTTTGCGCCATAGTAATCAAGGTAGTTTAAGTACTGGTTGTCTGAATAAATTCCTAACCAGCAAAAGGAAAATATTATCAGATGCGTAAGTGATCAATAAAAATCTTAAAGAACTGCATGTCTGTACATGGCAATGCTAAGAGGCTCATACAAAATAGGAATAGTAATACTTTACTATCTTATCCTATCAACTTTTTAAGGAGAACATTTTACTCTTGTGCTATTAATTTCCCTATTGCCAACGCAATGCTAATAACATACTAGAATTAGTAGCGACGTTCTATGGAGTCGCCTATTAATTCCAAATTTTCATAATCTAATTTCTCCTGCGCTGCTTAGACGAAATCAGACTGAATCATCAACACCGAAAAAGTTTTGTAACTATCAAACTAGTTCGTACTCAGATTCGAAAATTGTTCGAAAGAATTTAAACATGGTCTGGGATAATTCTGATGCAGACAACAAAAAGTTAAAGGAAATAAAAGGGTTAGGCATGGATGTCATGACATAAGATTAACTTTAAATTAGAATGCCTAATAACGAACGGCTTATTATTTTACAAGGTTTGCGAATGTAGGGAGAACTTGCTACATGAATGCAGTATTACAAGCTCTTCTCGCTTTACATCCGTTTTTATGTGATCTTGAGAATAAGTTCCTTCAAGATGGTGCTACTGATGACTTTGTAATTAGGTACGTTCGACCTACAGCCATTTGCAGCGATTACTTATCAACGTCATTGCTAATTTCTTATCGAATTCGATGATACAGGATTTTAAATACCTTAGCTTCTGATAGAAAGGCATCGAAATATGTTGACCAATCAACAACTTTGACACAGCTGAAAGAGACCATTGGTAACTTTAATCAGTATTTAAAGGAATACGTGCAACAGGTTTGATTTGCAATAAAAGTCCAACAATTTATTTCTAGAACACGGTGCAATCATGCCCGTAGACTTTCTGCTGTATCTTATTAAATAACTTAATCGCTATCATCCTTACGAAATGCTCAGGATGCTCATGAATTTCTAAGCACCTGTTTGGATAAAATCAAGGAAGAAACCAAAGAAGTAGCATTGCTTAGCGTAAAAGCTGATGTAAAAATTTATAGACTGCATATTACTATTGCTTAGCTAGCATGCTTATCAATTCTATTGATTGCTAATTTTTGCGTTCGACTATTGTTCATTTTTGATATCAGCAAGCGGATAACGTTTCCGAACTTTGTCCAGTTACTCTTAATTTTGAAAGTTTATTTATCCGTCGAACAACTTGCAATTTGTATGTCCTAGACTTTTCTATACTAATGAACGTAACATGGAATAGTATAAATGCAGTAATTGTATTTGTATCATATTATTTTACTGACTAGATGTCAAGGCGGTTCTAAATATAATGAGCCACATCTTATTATTAATCTTCAGCTACCGGTATTGGATTCGTAAGTAACATTTTAAGCTTACAGTATCGTATTGTATACAGTTGCTGTAATTCATTATCATATAAATAATATGAAAATATGATTGTTGCTATGCCTGCGTATGGGCATATTAGGCTAACTTCAACTACTCCAAATGAAATTTCTTTACAAGATTTGGTTAAGAGCGCGTTTGAGGTATTATTTGATATCGCTTGTCCTCATTAATTTACCTACAGTACGATGTAATTTTTACTCAATATGATTAAACCACTTGAAAAGGATGAACAAGTAAGTTGCACATGTGATTTATGTAAGCGAAATTGTACCACAAAATGGTCATACAGATGGAAGAAATTGCCAAGGTAATTTACAATCCCATCCAATGCACATTGTGTACGTTGAAATGAATTTTTTTAAGTGATGTAATCATACTCTACAGTTGATCAAGCTTTTGCAAAATAGTATTACCTGCAATTAAAACAGTGTCGTTAGACTACATAGGTTGTGATATTCTTTAATTGTTTACTCGAAATCAGTATCCTCACCTACTAAGGGTGTCATTATAAATGCGCGAAAACTGGATTGTTTATGCCTACGTAGCTATTTAATATCAGCTCGCGGTACAAAATAGATCAATGTAGTTATTTGGATCAGGTCATTATACCAATTTAGCAACTAGTGAGTCGCTTTCCTTTGAAACTTTGTAGATTGATGGAGACTAGTATACTCCATGTGATTAATATCATTATCACCAATATAACTAGAGCAAACATTAATTTACAGGATCCTAATTTTACATCTAAAAAGATATGAATACAACAAGAGTTATAGTATGTATAGGAAGAGAAACGATTCCGTTGCTATTTCTAGGTATCTTTCTGTTGGTAAGTCTAAAACAAGACATTTAATAAAATCAAATCATTGGTAGTATTTTTTTGTTAGTTTATTGCTAATTCAAGGACAAAATCTGATACTATTCAATGTTCGATATAAGATAACGAAATTTAGAAGTGATAGTATATCCTTATGTGATGTAATACTTGATACAGACGTGCACTTTTCAAGTGATCTTTATCAATTTTACACCAACAGAACCATTTTGTGATGAAAATCCGAACATCTTTACTGTACAGAAAGCTTCTTCCGAATTGGCTGTTATGAGGTATTACGACGAGCTATCGATGCCAAACTAACTCAATACAATACAATCTGATCAATGATGATATTAAACTATGTATATTTGAATTGGTTGACATCAAGCTCTGGGTCGAATTATTGTATTTAAACTATTGAAATATTCTAACTAGGAAGAGCATGGTGGCTATGGATAACCAGCCATCCGTTCGAAGACAACTTAATTTGGAGAACGAGTTACCTCCTGACACGTTAGTATCTTTACTTTTTGAGGATCATTGACTTCTTTAACGGTTATTGTGTGTGCACTAAATTGTAAAGTAATTTTTGTCGTTGATTACTATTATTGCTTAAGTGAACTGAGGTGAGATTAATGGAGTATTTAATGGTTTAGGGCTAATGGTAATACCAATTTGGGGCAAGATGGTAACCTTCAATCAAACGAGCATCAAGTAAATATGGTGATTTTTTTGCATTTAAAAATTTTTCATTTCTGCTGCTTCTGTGTGCCTTTATTATCACGTTTAATTTTATGATGTGGTGATGTGTGCATATCTAATGGTCATTGTGAATATCTTTTTAAGGTGAAGAAAAATTCCGAACCAGTAAAGACAGAAAACGTTATGTCAAAGTTTAATTATAATTATCGATTCATGGGCGTTATAAGTCACAAGGGGCAATCAGTGTCTGACGGTTGGGATATAATTTTTGATTAGACGACGTATGTTCAGGGTATTCATCCATAAACTAATAGAACGGCTACTTTGAATGATTATGGATTAGGTCACTATATTTGCGACGTCTTTGATCACTATAATTCAAAGTGGATTTCTTGCGATGACTCGATTCAGGATGAGGTCTGTTGTTATTTTTTGATAGTGAAGTATGCCTAAATATAGAAATCTTACTTAACGTAGGAAGATGACAATATTTGGTTATATTAATAATTGATGTATAATACTACTTTGTACGCGTATATACAGTTCATTAATATTCCTGTACTATGTTATTGTACGCATATATGCTGCGTCTACTTTTCCATTCTATTGAAATGGCAATTATTTGTTTGTAAAGTAAAATCGTAGCGCATTAGTTAATGCTTTAAACTCTCTTAAGTTAGACATAAAAATCGTTTTAATGGTTGTACATATTAACTTTATTGCAGACTACTGAGAGTGCTGTTATCAATGAGAGGAGAAGAATAGGCTGTATCTTTTTCTATACGGCTTGGCTTGATGACTTGTAGTCAAGTGGTTAGATGATGAATCCTGTAACTTTATGGCAGTAGTAAAGACATCTTAAATGACTAAGGAAGTCAATTCTTTGTCATTGACATTCAGTTGTTGGATCTGACAAATATAAGCAATGTGTAAATACTGTAGTCAGCGATCTAATACGCCACTACCTCGTATATTAATTATCGATCGATTGGTGCTAGCTTCAATGTTACAACTATACGACATGTCTTGTCGCTATTTTCTTATTCAACCGCGACTCCATATTGACTTTAAAGTCGTCTGCTATATCAAATAGTGTATTGCTGATAAAAGCTGTTTAATACAATTTATGGATAAATTGGTGATATAAGATGTGGAGTGCATGCCACTCGGCTACATCGTTTTCCCAAGGTAAAGCAAGTATTTTAAGATTTTGTAGTCCGTATTGGTTAATACCTCTTTACAATCAATCAAATCTACATGAAGTAATTCAGTATAAGGGAAAGATTGCCAGGATATCTTTGTATGTATGAAAGATGAAACTGTTTTCTAATTATACGCGTATGTTGGTATGTCCTCGTCTAGAATACGATTTTTCCGAGATATTTTATGACTAGTAATTGGATTACTGGCACTTTTAATTCTCTTTATTGCCGTAGGCTCAATTGATGTGCTCCTACGATTGTATTAAAATATATTGATAGATCCAATGGGATCCAATATGATTAGGGTTAGAAAAGAATTGAAAAGACGTAATTGTTTCTTAATTTGATGTGAAATAAAAATTTAGAAATTTATCGACAGTGAATAACTTGTCTCAACTTGTTGATCGATTACTAATGGTTTACCAACCACTGGCATGACTTGTATAATAGTCAGTGCTGTGCAAGCGTTCTTATTGATACTTACTGTAGCGCATTTTAACAATTTAAATAAGCCACCTTAGCTTGTTGGCGTGATCCCCCAATTTTTCCTAGTTTCTGTTGTTGAGTGAGAAAATACGACATATATCGAAGGTGATGCATGTCTTTCAAATTTACACGGTAAAAATACTGGTATGTCATTCTTGACTCAGTAAACTGCGTAGTCGTTTATCTTGTTATTAAAGTGCTGCATTGGTGCTGCAATTATGCCAATTGTATCCCTCTTCCATTTCACACTGTTTCATGCTTGTATACCTTTATTTTTAGGAAATAGGTTAGTACCAAGTCCTTCATAAGACGAATTAACACCGTGAGTAAGCGCATAGTGCTAGTACGATACTAGCTACATGTATACTTTATTTATTCGTCATCGTTGGCGATCAATATTATAACATTGTATGCCTAGACTGCATGCTCAATGCACCGATCAATAATTATGATGATTGATTGACTAGAACAGTATAATATCATGTTATTCGTATTTTTAAAGTTTATACATGCTTGTACATGTTTTCATTACGTACTCCTTGAAAAGGATTTCGTTGTACTTTATCAATCGATCGCTCTACAAATAACCTGTAACACATGCACAATCCTGTTTGGCGTTTGCAGGCATACCGAATATAGGAAGGGCCATGCTATGGCTTTGAAAATTTCAATCACTTATTGAAGTACTGTATATCTAGTGTAAATGCAATTATGCATGCCTAGAGTGGGAACCAAAGCATGGACAGGTGTAAGTACAGCATGCATAATTTAGTCAAAAGCATCGGATAGATTGCTTGCCTGGGTTAAGGGAGAAACGTTTCTCTGTAAGCTATATCATGGACTTTTCGCACTATCTTCCAGTAGGATATTTGGAGAAGTCTATGGCCAATTGGCCATACATATTGTACTGGTAAATGTCCATTGTACGTATATATGTTATATATGTAGAACATATGTGTCAACTGTTTACATATTGCAATGTCCGAACATCGGTAGTGGGTCATTACACTGACTATGATGGACCAATTTCCCATGAATTGCGCTTTATTCTGCCTTACTATGTCGTAGGAAATACTTAAAATCACCTTTAATCAATGACTATTTCTTCTTTTCAAATCCTATCATCAGCCAGTTGAATGCTGTACATTAGAGGCTTTCTGTTACAGTCAACTAGTCATCAAAACGCCAATAGCGAAGGATGGCAGTGAAAAGAGAGGAAAAGCAGGGAGACAAGGACCACTCTAGGATTTTTTCTCCCCTGACATCTCCCTTTATAAAATACTTTATTTTAGTATAGGGATCAGCCAGTTGAAAGCTGTACACTAGAGGCTTTCTGTTACCGTCAACTAGTCATCAAAACGCCAATAGCGAAGAATGGTAGTGAAAAGAGAGGAAAAGCAGGGAGACAAGGACCACTCTAGGATTTTTTCTCCCCTTACATCTCCCTCTATAAAATACTTTTATTTTAGTATAGGGAGATGACAGCGGGGGAAATTTCTTAAGCGATCCCTAGCCCCATCATCAATATCATTAATCGCAGTAATCCCCCAGTGTGTTGATACAGGACATTCTAATAGTACACACTACACAGGTAGTGAGATCAACAAAAGGGAAGCCATTGGCATTTTTTTGGTTATTGTTAGTATAGGACATTTTAATTGTACACAGATAGTGAGATATAGAAAAGGGAAGCCATTGGCATTTTTTTGGCTATTGGTAGTACAGGACATTTTAATTGTACACAGGTACTGATATAGAACAGGGAAGCCATTGGCATTTTTTGGGTTATTGGTAGTTCAGGACATTTTAATTGTACACAGGTACTGAGATAGAAAAGGGAAGCCATTACCATTTTTTTGGTTATTGGTAGTACAGGACATTTTAATTGTACACAGATAGTGAGATATAGAAAAGGGAAGCCATTGGCATTTTTTTTCCTTCTTGGTAGTACAGGACATTTTAATTGTACACAGGTACTAAGATAGAAAAGGGAAGCCATTACCATTTTTTTGGTTATTGGTAGTACAGGACATTTTAATTGTACACAGATAGTGAGATATAGAAAAGGGAAGCCATTGGCATTTTTTTTCCTTCTTGGTAGTACAGGACATTTTAATTGTACACAGGTACTGATATAGAACAGGGAAGCCATTGGCATTTTTGGTTATTGGTAGTACAGGTAGTGAGATATAGAACAGGGAAGCCATTGGCATTTTTTTCCTTCTTGGTAGTACAGGACATTTTAATTGTACACAGGTACTGATATAGAACAGGGAAGCCATTGGCATTTTTTGGGTTATTGGTAGTACAGGACATTTTAATAGTACACAGGTAGTGAGATATAGAAAAGGGAAGCCATTGGCATTTTGGGGGTTATTGGTCGTCCAGTCGTCCAGTCGCAAAACGTACTGTGGACTTTACACTGTACTCTTTACTTGACACTGCCCTGTACAGAGTACAATGTACTGTATGGACACAGTATGCAAAAGGTTTCCTTTGTAATGGACTGCAGGTGTAGCTGGCGTGCAGCTTTTTGTCTCAAGTGAACGTCACTCGCACGAGAGTCTGTCGTGGAAAACGTCACTCTCGTCGCCATCCGTCCCTGCACGTCTTTGACCATTTTCTCCATTTTTTCATTTTCACTGGGCTAAGAAATTCATTTTGTAGGACAACAACTCCTTGTCCAAAAGCTATTTTCTTCCATTCTATATCTTGCTACCAAGTTTAATGTCTCATTCTGTTTATGAATGATAGAAAATTGGCAAGAGTAGAGAGAGAGAGAACAATTTCTTAGCGCAGGAAACAAAATTACCAATCACTCAAAGTAGTCCAATTGGTAGAAAGCGTACACTACGCCACAGGAGAAGACGACGTCCCTTTCAACACAACTGAAGAGGAAAGCATTTTCAGTGGCAAAGCACCTGGCCGTCATTAATCCATTCCTAATTTGGGGGATTTTGTCTTTGAACTCTCATCAACAGTGAACAATTTAGGATTAAAGCCATTTGAATGAGTGGTTGCAATCCTTTTCCCATTGAAAGTGTTGAATTGAGACCAATTGATTGATTTCAAGGCAAACAAATTATTCTTTCATGCTGTTGTAGAGTGTCAAGACCAACATTAATTATTCTTTTTTCAAGCACATTTTTATTCCTTCCAATACCAACGGCTATCAGCTTCCTTTTTCAATCAGAAGAAAGCAAAGTTGAATGAAAAAATTTTGCAACAAGACCTGGGCATTCTTGGTCAAAGAAAATTGCTACTTCATTTCAATCGAGTACATCAATACAAGGACATTCAGGTTGGTATCGTCGTCGTCCATGAATTGGCGTCCAGTCCACGTATACAGTATACATACAGTAGAGAGAGAGAGAGACAAATCAATACCCAAAATGAATGAAAGATAAATGTCCTGTACAAAGTCAATCCTCCTCGACAAAAGTAGACAATCTTGTTAACACTAAGATTGCCTAACCTATTCAAATTCAATTTAATCGAGACGACCAGTACATCCATTATTTTTCTGTGATAAACGCATGGATGTCAACAGGAGAAAAATACTTTAGTGTAGACAAGCGAATGCAGTCATCATCATCAGTCACGGATCGCGGTAACCATTGACTTGGGATGAAATATTCATTCCAGCCTGGATAGCCGGTCTTTCCTTCCATGTTATACAGTAGAAAGGAAAAGTAATACATTGAAAAATTCCCTCCACGCTTTTGTAATCGTAACCATAGATAGAATGAATACACACTATCATTAGTCAATCATTGACAATACCATCAAATACCACTGTATTCCTTCTTGCTAAAACAAGAATCAATCAATCATATTTAGTATAGTTATCTCCACATCCAATGGATTGCAACTGCACCAAATTGGAAAAAGGAGTTCAATCTCGTCTTTCTACTTGAATCCAATAGCTAGTAGCGAAATAAAATTGATCGATTAAAGCGTAACTTGTACCAGCAGGAACGCTCTTATTCACTTTCATTATTGTAATTGTACAAGCGAGAATCAAAGCCCATCCATGCATACTAATATAGTAGCTGTTCATATCTTGATGTTACATCACTAAGCAATCAATACTGTACTAAGATACATCACCTTGACTTTAACTTTTTCTTTTCCCCACACTCAATCAACATAGAGCAAAACGAACTTGTGCTATCAGAAACGCTCATGAGTCAAAATAAAAAAGAAACCAGTCGTTCAACTCGACAAGAAGCAACAACGGCTCAAAGCTCCGGATCAAAGAATGCTGGAAATAAAACTAAAGCTTTACCATTAAGTTCTCGCAGGTATCTAAATTCAGTCATAATTAATGACTGTGTAATACAGTAGGTTTCTTGAATTGCTTATTCTCCTTCATGACAATGATAGTCATCATGATTATTAAAATTGCTAAATTAGCTCGTAAACCATGTTTGTTTTCAACTTGCATTCGTTACGCACTTGTGTTTGCTTGCAAATGTAATTGACGTTTCATTGTAACGTTTCCGATATTATTGCCAGCTTGTTAAAATTCAAAATTAATTGAAAAATAATTATCTACCACGCTCCGCTTCGTTCTTAACTCCAGTCATAGTATTTGCGTGATCAATGCTTTATCATTCATCAATTTCCTATATGTTTTTATCATAGTGATATCGCATCATTGATTACTTTTACGATCTGATCTAACAAATCTTATACACTCTTGCATCATTTCTACATATAGTATGTAGTTAAAATTACTATTGATGCCTATTTACTTACATGAATATAATTTTTAAGCCGTTTCGTAAATAGCGCTAATGTCCTACAATTTATTCTACTACAAATCTTAGACGAGATTTTGTATGTAGCAAATATCTCAGCTATTTATCATCGACAATGAGCCAAACTAATTGAAAAAATCTTGCGACTGCCTATACTTTGCCAATTCTATACTTATATTTTGATTTTGCCAATCATTTCATTTTCGCTGGACATTCGAAGCTTGATGGATAGCGTATCTAGAAAAGCTAAAGCCAATATTTGAAATGCGTAACGTGGCAAATGAATATGTTGAAACTTATACTTGTGCGTGTAGTGCCAAGTCGTTTGTGATCAGTTTATAGCGCATCCACAAAAACTGAAACCACTGTTGCAAATGCGCAATATCTCAAATTTTGATCCATTTTTTAGCAACTGCATTGCATGGCAATTTGTTGTTAAATCAACGTCAAGAGTAGTGATAAATAGAATAACGTATTTCGCGTATTTAGCATAAAGCCCTATTCCTAATAGTCCTTGAGGTATATACGCGTACGTACGAGTACGTATATTGAATTTCACTTTCTTTCTACTCACACAAAGTAACAATCTACACTAGTTCATGGTCAAGTTTTGGTTGCCCTTAGGTGGTACTGTATTTGCTCGTTGTTTAGTGCTATATTGATCATCAGCTTTACTGCTAAAATGAGTAGTTGCATTTCTCTTCGAAATGGAAACACTGAAATGTTACTGGTGTAGATCGCATCACCAACTTACTGTTCCTGGATTGCAATACCGCAATTGTAGTAGTTCATGCTTGTTGTATCAATTCTAGAATTTTCGCTAACACAAGTATATAAGTCATTAGTCGTACTTCGGTGATGATAAAATCGTTCATTGTACACCTTTAACAACACACGTCAAACCACGCTTTTATTTTATTTGTTAGGATACTCAAAGAATTGGCTGATATTAGCAGCGATCCTCCACCTAATTGCAGGTATAATATGCAACTTTCTTGCCTTGGCTTCAATAGTAATATAACTTTACGCTTCAAACTATTTCCTATGCAGCTACATGATTGTATTCCTAATTGACATTGTCCATTCATTAGTATCGAATTAATACTTTCGTGATTTGATTGATTCAGCGATTGCTTATCCTCATGCGGAGAATCTGTAGCTAATCTTTAAAATATCACCAACCTTGCAATAAATGAATTACTCTATTCTCTTTGTTGTCACAATCGTAGCGCTGGACCAAAGGACGACAACATCTATGAATGGCTATGCACTCTGCTAGGGCCTGCTGGATCTGTTTACGAAGGTGGAATATTCCTGCTCGATCTACACTTTACCAACGACTATCCGTTTAAACCACCAAAGGTATCAAGCTTGATGTCAACGACGCGTATTTATTTAAATTTCTATAATAAATCTACTATGGTATTAGCTAACATTTATATAACCTAAATAGCTAAAGTGAAATAAAATTGTTGATATAACTTAATGCACATTATTTGTGCAGTAGCATTGCTAATCAACTAGAAAATTAACTTTAATATGACTGGATGCTTTGCAATTATCATGAACAGATTACCTTTCGCACCAGAATCTACCACTGTAATATTAACTCTCAGGTAAAATTTCAATTTTAGCGTCAACACAGCATTATAAATCGTACAATCACTAATAACCCTTCGTGAATTAATGAAATACTATTCCTATCGTTGCTACAATAGGGTATGATTTGCCTAGACATTCTGAAAGAAAACTGGAGCCCTGCATTCACTATATCGAAAGTACTTCTTTCTATTAGCGCTTTATTGTCGAACTGTAATCCAAGTACGTATGTAGCGATAAACATCTTGCTTTTAGATAGCTCATTTCTCGCTTCTTAACGCTATTGGCTATCTCTACTGATATCACAGAGGACCCTTTGGTAGGATCGATTGCTACTCAGTATCTCAATGAACGACAAGAGCATGATAAAATTGCCTTGGAGTGGACGAAAAAATACGCAAAGTAAAGAAATTTTTTATTTATTCAATCGCCTTACTGGTACTCCGTATCAACAAAATGTGGTAGTAATGTTGAAATGTTGCTACCAATGTACTTACTTGTATGTACTTAAGATTGTTGTGAAATTCAGCACTTAATTTATTAAATACATTATCTATCCTCGTAGCATAATTTTCATTATAATAATCGATATGGTTGGTTATATTGAAAAACTGACCAACCTAATAAGTATATACAGTACTGTTTCATGGCTACCATAAAGCTACAATATTTATCGGTTTGCTGTACTAATTACTATATGAAAAATATGGTAACAACAATAAACTTTCTTCTAAATGTTAAAATACGAGTGTGTACATTATAAAAATGTAAATTTTTCTTTTCGATATTGCTATCGCTAGCTAATTTTGATAGGTGCATATAGATAAAATTCTATGGTTCTATATTAGTACTAAAGTGGTTCATGCATTGTATGATTGCGATGCTAACTTGTCTTTATTAGCAGTACTCGAGGATTTCTACTGCTAAAACGTGTCCTCTCAGTATTTTGGTAATTACAAGAAGTAAATGCTAATAGTCAGATAATGGATATTTATATTCCAACATTACAGACACTGTACTAAGACTACTGTCAAATCGTAGACGTGGTACACTATGCAAGTATTTACCACATTGAACGTTGCACAGATAGGTATTGAAAACGTATCAATACATCTTCTTGTTAAGTTAGCGGTAATAGGGACAATGAGAAGTAAATATAGATTTTTCCATTAAAACTAATGTAAAGACCAGGCAACATTTATGTTGGCGTTGTTTTACTGCACTGTAGAAGTTAATTACTTACATGCATCATGTGTTACGAGGATTTAATGAGAAAATATTCAAAACACTTACATAAATCGTTCTCTATTAGATAGCATTATTAAATTAAATAATTTATTCTGCTATACTAACATTGTATATTCAAGCCAGTGTGATACGACAATATAGACCAATAAAATTAGTTAAAATTAAACCAGGTATATAACTTGATAGTGATCACATCATACTCTTGCATTTCTCCGCTAAGAATACCGCTGTAAATGCTGCTATACTAGCACTGTGCATTCAAGCCAGTAGTGATTCGACAACATCGACCAATAAAACTAGTGAGAATTAAATCTGGTGTATAATTGGATAGTGATATCAATATACTCTTGCATTTCCCGCTAAAGAATACCGCTGTAAATGTTTATGTCAGAATTGAATTCAAAATCGTTATGTAAAATAGGCTATAATATGGATATTGTGGTACTGTATACAATGTACACTGTACAGTAGACTGTTACAAAATTATTCGCCATCGAGCTTCTACAATGGAACATAATATAAATTTTTCCAAAACTGTTGGATCTAATTGATTCAGTGGTAATATTGGCAGCTTAATGGTACAGTATCAGTACTAGTCTACGATGGAGTGATGATGATAATGGATCTAATCATTTCAGAGGTAATGTATTGGCAGGCTAAGGTACAGCCTCAGTGGTGGCCTACGATTGAATGATAATAATATCGTAGTTGATTTACTGTACTGTATCATCTAACTTGATTGATGATCACTACTATCCGTTTTTGAGTGTCTAGTACGTAAATATACCCAAGACAGGATTATCTTCTGTTACAAAATGAATTGTTAATTTATAGGATTGGATTGATTGATGGAACAGAATTCCGTATCATTCTAAATTTTATAAGCCATAGTAGAGCATAACCATATCCGCGCAGTAACGGTTGCGCAGATCGAGAGTCCATGTTTGTTATTGCCATGGTAACCGAGTGATTTCTGTATTCATCAAGTAAAAGTAGTGCTATTCGAGTTATATTGCTTGGGCCTTGTACTGTATATTCAATTAGTATCGGTTATTGCATTGCAAAGCCAGTAAAAATTATAAAAACAATTTTACTATCCACGCATTTCATCCTCATTTCCAGTCCAAAATGAATATGCCACGAGAAGAAGTTTACGATCAAGACAACGATGAAGAAGAAATCCCTAAAAGTTCCTTCACAACTTATGTGGCTGAGGGAGACGCGTTATTCAAAAATAAAGAATATTATAAAGCACTACAAAGCTATTCCACGGTAATATGACGTTAATTTCTGAAGAGGACATACAGTAACCCAGTAGCAACGTATTGAAAGTAGTTGTCGCTGATATTGAGATTCTTAATTAATCGTATACCTTAATCACTTCTATGATAATAAGATCTAAAATTAAGTCAATATAATATGCCTACTTTTAAATGTTTCAAATCGTACAAATTTTGAATAGTTAATCGTATTACACCCCCTACCATTTATATAAAAAAAATTGAAATTCTTCCAGTGTAAACCAAGTTAATTAACGTAGTACTTGATGATTCGAATTATGTGATACTAGAACTCATAGCTGAATTACTTAGTTACTGATGACTTAGTTAGCTTCTGAATTAACTTTCTCAAGTAAATCAATCCAACAATTTAGTTCTCGATCTCATAGGTTAAGCGATAGCTGAGATCATAATAATATAGCAATATAGTTCATCTAGAACAAATAAAAAACTTTCTGAAATGTCAATTAAAGTTATTCTTAATGATTCCAGTCGTGCTGTATTTCACAGCCAATAATGGCATAAGATGGTCATTTTATATCGTAGCAAGACTTTTAAATCATCGATTGTTATTCTTGATGCTTTGATTATTATGATATTTCATTATCGTGCTGTATGTTCGATTGAAATTGAATGATGTCCCGAAGGATTAGCTTGGCGAAGTTAGATTACACACTCGTTGAGAACTACCGCACTTTTTAGAGCTAAAAACGTAGTTTACAACTATTTTCCATCAATAGTAATTTTTTATTGATTAGATCCTTGAAAATTGTTCTAAAACAGATTTTTTGCTTATTTACTAATATGGCTAAGCTACTTTTGAGGACTTAACTATAAATAGCGAATTTTAATTATTTTTTCTCGATGGAATTATTATTAGATCAGATCTCGCTTAATTTATTAAGAATCAGATTTCTACTTCAGTAAAACTGTTTATTTTAATGGCTTAACCATAACCACTTTTAAAATAATAACAACGGGTTCAGTTTGTAATTATCAATAGATGAAATTTATCACCCTTTCACTCCTGTTTTAATCATAAGTAGTTAAGCTAAAATGATTGCATGCAGTAACAAATAGAGATCTTATTTGACTTTTATTAATAAAATATAGATCATATGGAATACTAAGCAAGTCTGTGCTTGTATTTTGATGAAATCTTCTCTTATATCATAGGCTCTGGAACTACAAACTGATAGTTACTGCCTAGTATCGAGATCAAAATGTTACCTGCAGATAGGAGACACAGACTCTGCCTTACGTGATGCCGAAGCCGCCTTAGCGGAAGATAGTAACTTTAGCAAGGTATAAACTTACTTTCTAAAAGTGATTAATAAAGACTAATTATTGTATGATAGACAACGTGGTGAAGCTAATTTCCTAAAAATTTCTCATATCATATCATATCACTGAAGATAATTCTAGCTAAAAGTCAAAGTTGTAAATATAAATCTTATCTTATACCTCATGATTCAAATTAATTATTACCGGTGGTGATAATTCGATTCAGACATCTTTACAGTCAGAATCTTTAGTCAAGTCTCAATTAATGTCGCAACACAACATATCAATCATCTTTAAAAGAATATCAATTTAACGGGCAATGGAACAAATATTTTATAGGGATTACATGCTAAAGCTGAAGCTTTATATGCCATGGGAGACTTTGAATATGCTCTGGTTCATTACCATCGCGGACACAAGCTACGACCGGAGTTAAACGAATTTCGATTAGGAATTCAGAAAGCAAAGGAAGCTATCGATAATTCGATAGGAAGTAAGTAAAATCAGATAATAATAGGAGATTAATGAATCACGAATTACTATTATGAAGTATGAACGATAGAGTTATTGCCAATATTTCAACTGCCGGATTAATTAAATCGCTTTAATATTTTATTTCAGGCCCTTCACGCGTCAAGCTGGAGACTAAGGGTGATTTATCATTCTTTAACAAGCAGGATGAATCGGTAACAAAAAGCAAAGTTTCATTAATAGCTATCACATCGGTAAGCATGTTATTCATATCGAAATAGACTAATGTCTTGATGTATTTGAAGAATAAGAAATTAAAAAGTATTGTCAAAGCTACATCGAATCGATTACCAGTTGGACTACACGCCAATCCTCTCGGACAAAGAAAGAAATCTACAAAACCAGTTGAAAGCTCGGATAAAACTATCAAACAGGTTATCTATTGAACACTGTTCTATAATATCAAGTAATGACAATAACGCGGTAATTAAATTTTCAAGTATTCTATTGATATTCACTGTTATTTTCTAAAATTGAATATAGCTACTCGGGGAACTGTATGAAGACAAATTATATCTAGAAAAGTTATTAAGCAACGGAGGTAAATGCTCAAATTATTCATCCTATGAAAATCTATGAGTCTGGTTAAATTCTAGCAATTTCTTGCTTAGAGTTGCTTAGCTATACATTTTGAATAGTTAAATCATTTACATAGTTCCTTTTTCCTTCCTTTATTAATAGTTTCTTCAATTTTAGTCACTATGTATTACATAAGCTTATCTATTAACCAAGCTCCTTTAACGCTAATATAGATTTTGTACATGGTAAACACGATCAAGCCATTTACCAGTGTATACAAGAAGGTTTAGGCTACTTGGACAGTAGGACCGAGTTTTGGAGGCAACAAAAACCACTCTATGCTCGAAAGAAGCAAAAGAAAGCAAACAAAGATAGAAGAAGCAAGAGCCCAACTCATCGTATCCTAATTATGGAAAAACTTTGAAGCTAAAAATGATCCTTATCTCTGTTTACTGTGATTAGTGTTTATGTTTTTGTCAATAATTATCCAGCGTTACGCAAAATGGATATGAATTTTCAATAATTTCCTTAACATGATACAAATTAGAATCTAACATGACAAAATATATCGTTCATACACTGGAAGAAATTGATGCAGGTAAGATTAATCATCTAGTAGGTAGACCTACTTACATATAATAATCTATGGAGCTTTTACAAATAGAATATATGTAATCTTATATTCTATAAGCGTTACACATCTCCACTTAAGGTCTTACGACTGCAGTAAACTAGTATTCTGCGTTGGAACCTTTCAGAATATATGCAGTTTTATATACTATAAGCCATACAGCACATGCCGACAGTTTTATGCAAATCCCCAGTTAAAGTCCAATGATTGCAATTAACTATTTACAAAATTATCAGAGCTAACTCCATTGGTCAATGCTCACTCGGCATATATCTTAATTTATACTTTACTTTTCCTACTTAATGATGGTAGCTCTCGCTGAAGGCAGACCTGATGATGGACTGAAAAAAGCTCAGTCATGCCTTCGAACAGTTGAATCGCTTGATATCGAAGATGTACCGAATAAAATGGAAGTCATAGCTAATCTACACAGTTGTATTGGTAATGCTATGTTTGATCAAGGTAATATGGATGGCGCTCTGGTACATCATCGAAAAGATCTGGAGATTGGCAAGAAGAAGTGCGTAAAAATATGCCTTGTCACTTAAATTATTACTACACATTATCTTAATAACTAGAGCTACTTTGATATATCGGTAACCCTTAAGGTGTTTGTTAATCCCAAGCGTGTTAATTTTACGTTATTAGTGAGATACAAGAAGCGATTGGACGTGCATTAGACAACATGGGTCGTGTCTATGCTAGAAAAGGAGAATTCGCTAAAGCAATTGATTTGTACGTGTTGTATAGGATAGCATGATAGCATATTATCCTAAGTCGAGGTGGTCATGCTCTATAATAAGTTAATTTATCGTTTTCTGCTCTATATTTACAACAGCTGGGAGGAGAAACTACCTATGAAGCAAACACCTTTGGAAAGCACTTGGCTATACCACGAAATTGGACGTTGCCATTTGGAATTAGAACATTACGTTGAAGCACGACGCTATGGTGAGAAATCGCTTGCCAATGCTGAAGAAGCTCAAGATAATGAATGGCAGCTCAATGCTTGTGTACTCATTGCCCAAGCAAATGGTAAAAGAATAGCATTGAAATTGATTGCCCTTAGGTACTAATGTTTGTTCGGGTTTTGTACGCTAGCTAACAGGATCAATCTTTCTGTCTTATAGTTAAGTTGAGCAACATTGCAGATGCAGTAGAAATGTTCGAGAGAGGACTTGAAATTGCCAAGGTAATTGGTGACAAGAAAGCAGAAAAAGGAATACAACGTGCACTTGAAGACACGAGTGCCAAACTTATTGCTAATATGAAAAATAATAGACGTGGAAGTGAAAGTGATAGTAGACCTACTACTACTGAGCAAGAAGCTCAAGATGACTATGAACGCGACGCAGAAGAAGTTGCCGATGAAGTTCAGAGCGAAACTAATAAAGATGATGATGCCAGCAAGTACGAAGAATCTGTAAAGGAGGACGACAATGATGAAGGCAATGATGTCGATAATACGAATACAGAAGAGGATGACCGTAACGGTAGAAATGATGCAAAGGCACAAGATGAGGCTGCAGAAGAAGTACCTGAAGAAGATTAATTTAAGATTGCAATCATATCGATTTCATTGGATATAAACAATCATATTTTTATGGCTGCTAGCGGTTGTATTTTGCCGCTAATTGCCCATATCGATTCTCAATTCTTAGAGTAATAGTTAACGATGCTTCTTGCTTTCTGCATCTGATGTTATATTTCACTTCATGATCTCTTCTTAATTAGAACTGTATATGGTTAGTTTTATGATATCACTGTATCGTATACATAACTTTAATGTATTTAGTCTTCTATATTGATAATTTTAAATATCAATCATAATTCCATAATGCTGGTAAGGATTACCATTATCATGAAATAATTTGCTGTTTAGCGATGTTGGCCCGTTCTTAATGGTCTTTCCTTAATACTTTATAGATCTAACTAACATGATATTGATGGCTGTAATTGTAATAAAAGACGAGTTAATATGAATTTAAATATAAATAAACGCTAATTTTTATCATTAATTGGGTTTTATAATTTATTCTATCAAGATATAGCCAAGTTAGGATACCAGATAGGAGACGAATACATTGCTTACCATTGTAGTGATTCTTGGCAAAATTAGTTAATTTGTATAAATTGCAGATATCCTCGTAACTTTCAGTAGAGGAAATTATTGGCTTACTTCTTAACGTAATCGATAGAATTGTCAAATCTTTTGATATATGAATACTGAGCTACAGGTTATCAAAACGTGACAATATCTCACGATGGCGATATCCGCTAGTGAAGTTTAAATATTATTTACTATCATCTTAGTCTATTATATATAGACTACCAAATTATGACAGCATGTCTTAATGATGTCTTTAAATTTACGAAGGCTTAAAAAGAGTTTTTGAGCTCCATCTTAGAATAGAATTTTAAATTATGGCTGCATCTTGAGTAGCAATAGGGTAATTCTGTTCCTATCCTTGATAAGGCTACTTATTATACTGCTTATTATCATTAAAAGTAAGTATAATCTAGATAGTATAATTTGTACTAGGTAATTAGTGACCCATATTTATTAGATTGATTTTGTATAGTTAATGAATAATCATCATTGAAAAATAAATAAAATCATTAAAATCTAGACCGTTTCAGTATATTACTGTACCTGATAGTTATTTGCTTAGTTATATATTGGATAGACTTTTATGAAATTATTAATAGAGCTAACACTTTCAACGCTAAGGCGGCAATAGGTTACAATTCGGTTACAAATCTTCATAAGGTTAGTTATTTTATAGCTTACTATTGTATAATCTTGTAGTGATTACAGCTAGTTACAGTAGATATATGTTATAGGGATGAGAACCCAAGCACTAAAAATCTAGATAGCATAATCTGCAGTGTGTAATTGGTTAGCTGCATTTATTAGATTTATTTTGTATAGGTAATACATGATCATTTCATCGTTAATTGTGGCTGGCTAATTGCAGGTATGACTATCAACTAACTTTAGTAATGTCTACATCTAGCTGATTATTACTGGAAATAGTAAACAACATGTATACTGTATTATTAAACTGTCCGATTAGGTCTGCTATCAATATTTATTATTCTAGTTTTATATCTAGAAATTGACATTAAAATTTTTATGGCACTTTATGTAAAGGCTGCAGTATATATGGGGGAAACCTCTCGAAGTATCCCAGTTACAGGACGTATATTATATGCATATTACAATGCAACAAAATAGAATTTTTCAGAATAACAAAAGGTGCCTGTAGCGATTAGAATAGCTATGGCATATCCTTGTACCTATTTGCTGCTGTGATGTGATATTAGCATAAAATCAATTAAGAAACCAGGCTGTCTTCCGCTTTATTTACCTTATTATAGGCTACATTATTATCTTTTTTTTAATGGATACAATAGTTGTCCTACATTAATAAATTTCAGCTTGAATTTCTATTCGTCTGTTGGTCTTCTGGAATGATAAACATCTCCTAGCAAATTAGAGTTATAACAATTTAAAGGGTTTCATCAATAGTGCCGAAAAATATTAGGATAGCGAGATTTAATACGATTGGATAATGTAGTTGTTAAGATAATCACCATGATACAATAGTTATTTGAGTTTTATGATAAATTATGAACTGTCTACATATTCTATTTTTTTACTTTCTATATCTTCCGTTCTTCCTATAGCTGTTTCAGACTATGAATAGCATTCTAATCGGAAAGATTATTCCATTAACCATTTGGCCCTAATTACGATAAATGTGCTTTTGAGAAATTGTCTCCGTCAACAATTTACAGTAAAGATGGCAGCGGCAACTGAATACAAAGTATGGAAATACCCAAGATGCGATAAGGATAACTGCTCTAGTCAACAGCATTTTGGACATTTAAGGATTACTAATTTAGTTCATGCCACACATTTAAAATTCGCCATTAGTATCTGTACTGCTAATCAAGATTATTATGCCTTCAGAATGAGAGGATTGAATCTAGCGAATAACCGAAAGCAATCCCATGAAATTGGAGCGTGTTTTGGAATTCGAACGGCTAAAATGACTTCTACTAATGATGGTATTTATCAGACCAACCCATATATGAAAGAATCAACCTATCAACGTTATTCGCCTGCTTTTAATCAAACGCGCTATGGAGGTGTTCAATTCATTGTTCATGAAGAGTTAACGAAAAGATTAATTCAGCAGTGTGTAAAAAAATCCCTGTTTACCGCTAGACATAAATCAAAATTTTCGCAACGCATTAAATTATCGATATCAGGGGGTAGCTATCATGCTTATTCGTCAACAAACGATGATTTAGCATACTCCAACTGGTCAGATATTTTATGCTGCGATAATCAAAGTGGTTACTGGTTTTGGAATTATCATAAAATTCCAACGTGGAAGGGCGGAAAATTTCCATGGGAAGAGCTTGAATTTACTATTAACGGCGATGATAACGCGCGAATTATGGATAACCAATGTAGAAACAGCTCGCTACCCTACTGCAAGATCGATATCCAAAATAATCATCGCTATTTGTACATCCGGAAAGATATGATAAAAATTCAAGTTTTAGATCATCCAACATCGCATTCTTCTCGACAATATAAAAGTAACCGAGATGATTTTTGTATTCCCAGTATGAGGGAGCAAAATGATGGGTACAATTTTACTTGCCAATTTCAGGAATTTAAAGCAAAATTAAATGCAATGCAAGTTACAAATGAATTATATCGTAGCTGTGATTTATTCTTAAATAAGGACGATTTTGAAATTTCAACAAGGGAATACATCAAAGATTTGGATTAACTTTTTCCTAATCAACGTATACGCCAGGAAGCTGTTATCCCCAATTTTATCTGTTTTGATATTCTAATATTGAAGATACTATCGACTAATGATAATATTGACCCCAAATGTTTTCCGTTTACATTAGGCGTGTAATGATTTCAGATAATGGTAGTTACACAGTGGGCAGCTAATAGGATGAGATGGTGCACTTGTAGTATTTTTATTATGAGATTGGGATTTTCCAATTAAGGCTGTATCTGATAGCCAACTATAGGATTAACAGTAAAGACAGGAGACTACTACTCGGTCATTAACATTGCAAGGCAACACAGCTATTGGATCTAAGCCTATTTTCGAATTGCAATAGTTAATGATCATGCCAATCCTACGAAAGGTGACGTAAGTAATGCAGAATCCGTCAATGGTATATATCAAAGGAATATTCATATTTAGCTCGATTTCTAATTCAGCCAGGAGAATAGTTTTTCCTTTTAAAAAATGTTCCAAGGATATTAAGATTAATGTTCTACAGTAATATACGTACGTTGTTCCTTCTTCTTTCTCGATTAGTTTATTTATGAAAAAACATTATAAATCATATATTGGAATACTTTAGAAAAGCCATAAGAACATCGAAGATTGCTATTCTGCGGTATTACAACTACCGTGGGCATTATTCAAACTATGGACTTCAGTTGGTATCTTCATCAGCCGCTATATATACACTACCGACGATTAATTTAGAATCAAAAGCAAGTAATTTGAAGCTTGATCTTGGAGATAAGCTCAGAGATAATTTATGAACGTTGTTCTACGTATAACGCTTTCTCCTCTAAGATAGTTTTCTTTAGTGGTTAGCTAAAGGGATTCCAGTTATAGATCGAATTATCACGTAATCGCTATCTGCAAGTCTACTAGATAATAATTCTTAATATTCATATGTGCTAAAATTTCGGTCTTGAAATGACTTACTGCACTCATGAGAAATTTAAATAATGCAGTGCAGAATTTTGTAATTTTTTCATAAGGGACCCACAGAGATGTAAATTAAAATCGCAACCGTTTCAATTTGGTAAAGATATTCAGACTAGCTTAAAAACATATAATACATATTTTGATAAAATCCGTTAATTAGAGTTTATTATTAATTGCAGTTTGGAAATAAGAAATTGTGACTATGATAGCAAATAAATTAGGCAGTCTAATAACAATATTAAATAGTGACTAACTCACTAACTATACTGATCACATCATAATCTAGATGGATAATTTTTCATCCATTAAAGGATAATCTAAGTAATACAATAACATGTGATTCTTGCAGCTCTAGAAAGTTATTACGTTGGCTGTATTTTACACTTTAGAAATAATAAATGACTGTTATTATATTACAGAAACGTTTAAGTGTCTCATTATCTTTCCTTATCATCATATCTGCAGGATCTACTTTTGACTTGACAGGCTTTCTTGCATTCTTTAAGAATAATTTGCTATTCACTATTATTTCTTTCTTCTCTATTTCAATAATAATGCGATCTATTATGTAGTGCCGTTCCTTTAATATCAAGAAAGAAAACAATATACTAAGCCGAAATGATGTTCTATTAAGAACTAAGCTATTGTTTTTGGTATAGGATTTCTTGCTAGAATTGAACTTTCATCCACTTTATTAAATTTTATCTAATAATAAAATTAAAATACAATAGACTATCATCTATTGTATTCTATGTTATCTATGCTATCTAAGATCAGTTCGCTTAATATTATATTCCTTAGCCATATTATTATACCTAACATATGAATACAGAAAACTAGATTAGGCATGAACAATAATATGTCTAATTGTTCTTCCCATATTATCTACAGTTATAATTAAATCGACTAAACATCACCTTCAGTACTTATGTTCAGCCATAAATGACGACTGTAGCGTATCTTTACGAAACCATCAGTATTAAGCACTAATATAATCACATCGATTAGATACTGTATTTATCGATGATGATAATTTGTAGCTAATCTGAACTTAAGAGAAAGCTAGATGATAACAAAAAGCCATTAATTAACTGACGGATTGCTAATAAAGTCTAGCACGATTAGAGAGATATTGGATGTCAGCGGTGGGCTGAGATCTACAGGAAAATGTTATAGTCATCGTTATTTTGTTATCAAATTGAGAATTAAATCGCAGGAGTCCAATATTTACTTATTTCTTGCAAAACATTCGAAATATCCTCGGAAAATGAAAGGATCTAAATATAGCTAAATATAGATTATGAACGTACATAAAGGGGTCTGTTAGATATCTTGTTCAATGACTGTAAATATTTAGCTGCTCCTAGAGTGAGTTAGATGCGAACTGGTTGTCCACTGTTGAGGTCGAGATGATGTCTTGCCGATCATGATTTAGAAATTGGAAAAGAATTTATTAAAATAGTTCTTCATCAGTTCGTTTAAAGTTACTAATAAATCTATTTGATCCCATAATTAATATTGTAGCAATTGAAGAACAAACCGAAGAACAAGATTGTCGAATATTACATACTGCTTTTTAATCTTCCCTGATTTAAAAAGTTCAAGCTAAAAATCTCAAATATGGCCCCTAGCTCGCCTTTGCAATTGTGACATTCATTAATTAATGCATCATCAATATTATAATTTTGTTGTGTGATGAATCATATGTTGACACCTAGCTACTAATTAACTAATATTAAATGTCATAGAAAGTGTGTTGTGATTCTGGCTATAATAAGTATGTAGACTGGGTTATTAATTAATTACTGTTTTTGCACCAACGAAGTTGGTGAGGATATATAAAGTCTCAAAGTTCTTAATTGAGAGTTAGTTACGTTAGTCGATGACAGATGGTTATCAGTTGCTAGTCGTAATTGTAAGTTGTGCGTTCAATCGGACATTTTAATAAAATAGCTTCTAGAATAAAGTTTTGATCCTTAGCGTGAGTAATCTATCGTCTAAGACTCGAATCTAAGTTTGGTTGATTAAAGAGTGCTTAGAGTTAGTTGCTTAGATAGTTAAGTCTACTTTAGAGGAAAGAATCCCGTTTAATTCTTGTGTTACAATCTCGGTTGTGACAGCAATACACACATGTTACTAGCAACTCTAGCATCTTGCACTAAAATTGTTTACAATCAGCAATTATAACAAGATATAGTCTCACTTGTTATATGACGGCAAAAATTTAAAATTCGTTACAATTGTATTATGAAAGCGATAGAACTGTATTAAACAGAGATAGAAATAGCGATATCTATATTGCAACAATGATTGCCGATGTTCTTCTTAATTGATCAACGAAGATTTACTGCCTCTCTATCGCATCACATAGGTCAAAGTTTACTCAGAAAGTGATCAATCATTATTTAATTCATATATCATAGATATAGCGGCTAGGCAATTAGATAAATTCACGTAATCTTAACTGCTATCACTTAACATTTTCTACTTGTACAGCAGAATGCCAACCCAACATGAAATTTAGCTTGGATTAGTAGCAGACATACAGACAGAGAGATAGAGTGTGCTTGGCGCTCCGCGCAGATTGCAAAAGTAAATTAAATGCATAACCACAAATGTTATAATTAGCTTTCACCATGAAAAATTCTATTTGAATTATTCATGACTGCTATGATTATCGCTGTAGGCGATTTAAATCATCATATACTAAATGATTAACGATCAGACTGATATTATCTCCACGAAATTAAATCTATCATTATCGTAACGATCGCCCTATAGGTAAAATCATTTTAATGCCTATCAACTTCATTACTAAGTATATTAGATTAATTCTAAACAGATTAATTAACGTAAAAAGCTGTAGCTGACTGTTGCCAAGTCAGACTACACATAGTATGAATCTTAATGGCCATCAAGCCATGATAGAATAGCACTATCAATTTATTCCTTCAGGCTATCAATCAAGTAGACTTCTAATTAACATATTGTAAACTATGCAGATCACGTTAGTACCCAGGCTTTTATCATAACCAATTGACCATTGTCTTGTTGATCGTTAATATGCAAGTAATTATTCAACTTTTTATTTATTTGCTTGGTCTTTTGCTCTATATGCTAATGACTGTTAATGCTGATATTGTTATGATCTTTCCGATGCTGATCATTCTTTAATCACTACTGTACGAGTACCATATTATACTAACCTGGATTAAGTTAGTTGGACCCTAACTTGATTTCCTCCTTGATCTTATTCGTAGCATCTGGCGCGTTCATTTTGACCCATTTATCTAACCTAATTTGTTCAATTGATAGTTTCAATTATGGATAAATCCAGTAAACGAACAGCATCTGGACTACGAGTTTATAAAATTGTCTTATTAGGAGAAGGTGGAGTAGGAAAATCAGGTAACGTCGATTTCCATACGAATTATAATTATCACCGAATCTCGTCATGTTGTGCATTAATTGAAGTATTTGCATTTTTTTTAACATTCTCTTCGTTTATAGTGATAATCTACTTTTAAAATCTTAATCTAATATAGTTATATACGAATCATCAGGTTATCGTTACTACATCGGCTATAACCAATTAAGGATTGACTTCTTTAGTTTGGCTCTTTAACATGTTCATTTTTATAATTTTAGATACTTTATTGCAGTTTTGTAGAATACAACATTGATATTCATCTAATCGTCATTCTATTTTATATTCCGGCTATTTAATTTAAAATTCTCAACTTATTAAGTCGAAACACAATTGCCATTGTCGATATGCTTCATTTCTACATTAAAAAGCCTCCGAGATCAACTTTTAAATGGAACGAAAACCTATTAATTCTGCTGTAGAAAGGATTGATGAAGCAATTGCCATCATCTTCAAACTTTTGCTAGAGGCTTCTTCAAACCTGTTGCTCTTCTTATCGATTATTAATTATGAAGCACATAATCGATTTCATCCTCCATTCTACAGACCAAAGTAGCGGCAATGACCATTACAATCTAACATTTAAAATCTATGAGTTGAAATGGCAGTGCCACCGTAGTAATTGTATGGCAAAATGGGGCTGTACTAACTGTAAAACAACGTTACATTTAGATGCCCTTCCTATACTGTACACTTACGTCGATAGTATCCTACAATGAAAACCGATTTAACACGTATTGTAGTGATATTGATCAAATAAATCATTCAAGATATAGATTATTCCATTAGAATTATTCATCATCGTCATTATTTAATAAACTTATATGGCGGCTCAATAAATGCTTGTGTTAAGCAAACGGAGTAATTATTGATGAATGAACGTTAGGGACCGCATAAAAAAGGACCGAGAGCACGTCGTAAAATTTATTAATGAAAATAAAATTTCGTTTTCCTATAGCTTGTGAGTAAGCTATCACTTGTTAATCGAACTACTATCATTTCATCTTGCTTCTTATTATTGCTAATATCTTAGTTTTTAATCGATCTAGAGCACTTTCATGCTACTTATTTTAGTATGATTTCTTCATACAACACGTAGTCAGGAATAGACGTGAAACAGCAGTATTTTTTGTTGCCATATCCTATTTTTGAGTCCATACAGGGAGTAATTAATTCAGTATTCATTTTCATCTATTAGTGACAGTTAGCACTTAGCAGTAATATCATCAATTTCCTCTGCTACTATGATTAAAATCGTTCTGATTCATGCTGTGTAGTCCATCACACCATATCTATCAGTATAACATATCTTTGCCGGGTATATATAAATATTTGATTACAAATTCTAGGGAAATGTAACTGTTTGATATTCGAAATCAGAATGTGTTTACTAACCCAAGTAATATACAAATATCCATGATCAAGATAGGGGTGTATTTTATCAATGTCAATTTGATCAACGTTCAAATTTTGAAATATTATAAACGAGCTTCTGGCCTTTTTATAAGATTCGACAACGACTTAGGTGTAGCTATCGTTCAGGTTACTACTGTTAAATTCGAAATTCTGTTTCTTGATAGCTATGTCGAAGTCAGATGCACTTTTCATGTATCTTCTTAGTGGATTGATCAGCTGCACTGTTGATGTCAAAGTCCCATCGTAAATAATCCACGGTATTAGTAATCTATACTGTTATTTCCACGCTATATCATGCTAGTAACTCTACCGGAAAGAGCCTCTATTAAATAAAAGCCAGAAACGATCTCATATTTCACTTACTCTAGAATCATGCTTATTGCCGTCTATAATGAAATGAAACAGATCTACACTTTAAAAACGGTAACATGATTTATTATTATCTTTTTTTCTTTTAATATCAGTCTCTTTTCACAAATAGGTTGTATAGATGAATTAGAACGGAATATAATCATGTACCTTTTTTCAAGCTAAATCTAATTTTATACTTTAATATCTAAACATGCCAACGTATAGTTACCATAATTTCCTATTAATAGCAATATCATTTCTAGCGAGAAGTTCTACTAATTAATTAGAATAATTGATAACTTCCTCTGATCATAATCTATGTCTTGCTTCTAGCTGTTACATTGCAATTTGTCAACCATAGTTTCGTCGAACACCATGATCCCACTATAGGTAAATGATATTGTGATAATTGACTACAGGCTCAAACGGTAAAGTTATCTAAGCCAGAGATTGGTCTAATAGTATGATTCTTTGTATTTAGAGAACTATCCGTCAACTAAAACGTAAATATTTTCTTCTGCTAATATTGATCAATACTGTATGTCATAAATAGAGGACGCATACCAACAACAAGCTGTGATTGATGGTGAAGCTGGTTTACTTGATATCTTGGATACAGCTGGACAGGTTGATTGTCAAATAATCTAATTCTGTAGGATAAAATTTCGTCATGGAGTGTTCATTTTAATAATTTAGCTCGATTGTATAGAAAAACTTTAACTGAGCTTGATATATCATTTCTATATTATTTTTCAATTTAGGAAGAATTTACATCTATGAGAGAGCAGTATATGCGTGGTGGCGAAGGTTTTATCTTGGTTTATTCTATCACAGATAGAAGAAGCTTTGAAGAAATTTCCAATTATATCACTCATATCGAACGAGTAAGAAATTGTAACGATACACCAATTGTTATTGTGGGCAATAAGTCTGATTTAGAACATCAAAGAGTAGTTAGTACAACTGATGGCCAGACTTTAGCACGGCAGCATAATTGCTCATTTTGGGAAACATCAGCAGCCTTGCGCCAATTTATTGACGAATCATTTCACGGCATCGTTAGAAAAATACGTGAAAAGGAAAAAATTACAGCAGCAAATGATAAAAGTAAGAAAAAAAGTAGTAAAGCCAATGCTGTCAAACGGCTGTTTAGTAAGCATAAGAAATAAGCCATCACCAACGAAACAATGCTTATAGCACGCTAAAGATGACGAGGATCTCATTTATGTCCATATGTAATCGATTGAAATATTAGAAATACTAAAAAATAATTAGATATAAATCATTTTTAGTGTCTTTTTAACATCGAATCGCTTTGTTATTCCCTAATCCATGTTGTACAAAGTCAGAACACTTTTTTGCACTCGTGCTATGTAGTTTTAGACTAATCGTATTTAATATATTACTCTCTTTTAAACAGTGATTTTGGCTACCAAAGAATAGCTAGTTTAGAAGAGTTGTAAATTAAATTTATGCGAGAATGATAATCATAATTATGTTCCTTGTTTATTGAAAATTCTCCAAGCTACCATCAAGCACTTATGATGTGTCAACATCATAATATATTGTCGCTAATGCTAGGCGATTATATTTAATATTTTTTATTTTGCTTCAAAGGGCTAGTAATCAATCTTTACATCGTGATGAATATTGCTAGAGAAATTTCCTATCTATTGTTTGATGATTATTGCTTGTTTATAGTACATCAGGGTATCTAACAGCATGTAGCTCGAATAAATTGCAGATGTAGACTAGTATTTTTACCATTTTTTTACTAGTATTAGCACGTAGAATTTTTGTAATATGGTTTTTTATTAATGGTATCAGCACACTTAAATTTTTAACTTTATTGAATTTAAACTCAGCTCAGGATATTGATGGTAAAATAGTAGTTAGCACAATGGTATTGTGATAATGGAAGGATTCATGAATAATATATAGTAAATAGCGGTGATGCTGATTATCGTCCATCACCTTGTAGTTAAATTTTATTAGTAGAAGCTTGAATTGATCTTTCATCATGCTTTAACTTCAATTTAAATTAATGATCATCTCGCTTTGTAGCTATTTGAATGGTCTCTTTAGCATTTTAATTAAAAATTTGCAAACAAACCAACTGATATGACCGATTAAACGTATTGCAGATAGCTCATAATATGATCCATACAGAATCTAAAATCTATAAAAAATCGATCCTTCATTGTTTATTACGATGCAGTCAAATTTTTAGATGCTATAGGTGTACCTTCTACCCTTAAATTTAAAACAGTAATAAGAAGTACCATTTGACAACCTTCTTTGTCAATGTAAGATCGCCCTGCAGCGTAATGGATATTTAAAATCTAGCAGGAGTAAGTTACAAAGGCTGATTACCATACAAACTTTCGCAATTAATTCAATTTCTTAAAACTCATGACTGTTAAAGCTAGCACGAAAGTTTGTAAATGCTTACATCAGTATATTGACAAATCATGAGATTATTAATATACGAGTATTAACGGATTATACAGTACTGCAACGGCAACTGCAACTACGTGATAAGATGAAACAATCTAATTAATTAGGTACCAGGAACTTCTGAATTATTCTCCTAGAAGTCCGTGTTAAGTGCTAGCAGGTTATAATATTCAATAAAGACCGAAATCGATATTTGTAAGGGTTCATTCCATTATGCAGTAAGAATAACTGACGATGTACACATGAATGATTATAATTATAAGTATACTGTAACCCACTAATAGCTCGTGTCTCGTAAAAAAATTAGATCGAATCATTAAGCATATCATACAGAAATTTCTTTAACGTCAATTTCTATATTAGCAAATTGCGTAATAGCTAGCTCTAATCAAAAGAAAAAGTAGATCAGATCAGACTTGACTAATTAAAAAACTCGAATATTAATGACAGCATTTTCCAAGAAATCTTTAATAATTATATACAAACCAGCAAAATCAAACTTTATTTGCTGTTGTAGTGTGGTAATATTGATATCAAACAAAGAAAGACATATGGAATTGAAATATATTTTTAATAACATTAATCAGGGAATGCTGATAAATTATATCATATCCAAAAAAAAATTTCGATAATTAACGATCTTCATTAGTTCTTGTTGACCAAGAATGAGATTGAAATTTTTACAGAAGCAACGAAATATACACAAGAAATACAATCTTTACCACAGCAATACTTTAACACAAGTATTACACATTTTATACGGTTAAAGTATGATATGATGGAGTAACAAAGGAAACATACAAGATGTTTATCAATCAAACTTTGGTTTTAATGATACGATAAATTTAATTACGCCTTATAACTCTTTCAGTAAATGCATACAATATACAGCTTGGTAGTATTTAAGTCACAAAGGCATGATAATAAATTTTCAGCAGTTGCGACACGAGCATGATATTCTAGAAAAGCATACGAACACTAATTTTGATTTCCATTGTACGCTATCTAAAGATAGAAATTTAGCATATCAGTGTCATTCTTATCCTGTTATATATATTTAAACTAAGTCTGGAAATTTAGTCTGTACATTAATCATATTCGGAAGTTATAATTCACAATTCCTACGAGCAAAGATTCATAATTCTTGTTGGATACATCACTGTACAGAATAAGTTATCATCAATAAGCCGGTTATGACGATACATCTTCTCTTCTTTTCTTTGCTTCCCGAATTTTAGACTACAGTTAAAACCGATAGTATTACTAATAAAGCAAGTGCATAGATATAATACACACTTAACAAACCTTCCGCGATTCCTTTACAAAGAGTACCTCATCATCATCGTCATCTCCATGTTTTCTCTTTCCAGATCCAGTGTCACCATCATCAAACTTAAAATCGCCAGTAACAATACTTCGTAAAGTATCAAAATTACTAAATGTAGCTTCGCTACTTAGAGCTCTCAAAACTGGTCGCAGCGGTTTCAGCTCTTTTGAGGTAACATATTTATGGTTGCGACTATAGATTTCATTTAAATATCGTAAAACTAATTCTTTACTGGATGGCAATATATTTCGTGAAATCGATTTTCTGGAAATGTTAAAAATTAGTTAATAGGAAGTTAAGCGAATTTAAAACCGTAATTACATCACTATTACTTTTCTGGTAAATTTTTTAATATTTCGATAAAGCTATCTATCACTTCACAGCGGAAATGCTTCCACCAATGGCTGAAGATACATATCAGAAATGAATCATCTCGCTTCGCTGTTGAGATTAGTTGATCAATCAACGATGTACTTGGTCTATAATCCGGCAAAATTTAGTAATTAATTCCTCAGTAAATAATTATTGTTAATAGGGACGAGAACTAAAATGATCAGGTACCGTATAGTCTTCATGGCAGTCACGAAACCTGTAGAAGCTTCTGGGTGATCTAAGTCCAGTGAAATCTTTAGTTAAAAGCAAGCTCTATCTTTCAGTAACACTGTCTAAATAGATACCTTCTGCTGATAGCTTCGCTAACACTGGAAAGAACACATCCGATTTTGGATCCTCTGAGTGGACAAGTTGCCATAGTGTACTTTGCTCATAATAATCCCAATTTAAAGAATCCACTACAATAGCAAGAATTATTAATGGACAAAACCAACAAAGAGCATAGTAACATTTACTGTAATACCTAATAACTGTGGCATATTTTCGTTTCCTAGTAATTCGCACTTATTTAGTGCAATCTGCCGCGAAATTTCGAATAACTACAAAAATAATTAGAATACCGAAAATTTTTGGATTACGATTCTATAGATATTACATAGGCCTGATAATTCAATAGAATAACACCCATCTAACCTGTATAGGGTCTACATACGATGCAACAGTCTTTATTACTTCCAATTGCCCATTAAGCGTATCCTTAAACTATTGCAACAATCATACTAATGTTAGATATCATCGAAACGTAATATCTAGTCATCGATGCTTCAAATGTTATGACAAACGTACTTGGGATAGGACACTAGGTAGGATGTAGCTAAAGACGCTGCGATCGTCTTCACCGCAAATCTAGAACGCGACATTAGATAGTGATAAAATTATGAATTTCTTGAGTAAACATACAGTTAAATAAATGTCTGTTTACATACTCACCTTCAAGTCATACGATAAGCACTCATTTAACTTAATTTTCTCATCGAATCGCATTAAATCTTCAACGTAGTCTTTGTACATAGTTACGGAATTGTAACTAACAACAGAACGTATTAGTGCTATCAATAACAAAAATTGAAACCTAAATAAGCATGTGGTACTTACTTAACTTTTATATAAAATAGGACCATATATCCTAGCCTTCTTTCACCGGCTTCCTTAACATAGTACAACAACTTTGAAAGAATATTCTTTTCAGTCGAATTTACGTCCAAAACGTTCCTGAAAAGTAAGTGTTATATATTCAAAGTTAATAACTGTAACGATACTAATTTTATTTCCAATTTTTAAAGATAAGCTTTGGTACCGTATCATTGCAAAATGAGGAGTATAAAGAGACTTTGTAACCGATCTGTCAAAACATTATATATAATGATTGAAATTAAATGAAAATACATCAGAAGCAACATATCGTAAACAAATCTAAATAGAGGTAGTATTAATTAATACACATACTCATCAGATTTATCTTCGTCTAAAAGGTGACTACCGGGTCTATAATCAAGTATCAATGACTGCGCCAAATACATAGCTATTTTCTTTAAAGTCTCATTTGGTAAATGCTACATTCAAGAAATAAAATACGCAAGATATAGATACAATATTTAAACATGTCTCATTCGTGAACTAATAATTGGTTTTTAAGTGGTATAACTGCTATAATATTTGATGGTAAATAACAATTTACATTATAATTAACAATCACCTGTTCAATTAATAATTGGAAAAGGGTGTCGATGATTTCACATTTTCCGGCCTTATCTCTGTTAGATTTAATAGAATACCCTCAGCGTTGACGCAAAGTACATAGATATCTAGTTTCAGTTTCTTAGCAGGTTACCTTCCTATCTGATTAAGCTCCACTAATGACTGCAATATTTTGTCAGAAAGGCTTAACTCCTTCAATGCAAGAAAACTGCGATCATTTTCAATGCTATCCGTGTTTGTATTTTCACTATCAGCTAAAGGACTTTCTGGCATAGGTGATTCTGCTATGGGCTTAAATGTATATTTGCTACTTGGATAGTCTTGCTTTGAATCAGTATCCTAAAATTATATGTTGTCTTTAATGGTATTCAAAACCAAGAAATAATTATTTAGTAATTTGATAATCTTACATTTGGTTCATCGTCTGAATCTGAAAAACGAGCCGTATCTTCTTCGTCATCTCCATATCCTTTGTTGCTGTCCGATAAATTCGTAGTAGTTGTTGATTTTTCTAGAGAAGACGCAGAACTATCACCAGTAGCATCTACTGGAGGTGATTCATTGCCTGATTTAACCGCAACACTTGCGGAATTAGTTACAGGTGGGGCTATAAGAGAACAAAATCAAGGAATCGTTAGCACAAACGGCGGAATGTAATCCTATCAATACTATACTAACTTGAAGCGCTTTCTATATTGAAAAATTCAGGGAAATTATATTGTAACATCTCTTTTAATTCTTTATCAAGCTTCTGATGATCAAACAATGGAGAAAGAGAGCTAAATTTAAAACGGAAGATTTTTTTAATTCAATGTTGTTGTCGTTAGCTGTGCAGCGGTCCTGGTGTTCACATATATCACTCATTACAGAACTAATTACTAATAGAAAAATAACGAAAAATTCTTAGTAATATCAACAATTTCATGAAATCAATTTTACTTTAAAACACGTTTCTCAACCACAAAGTGAAGCGCCTTTCGAACTGCATTTCGTATTTGAGTCTCCATTGGCTTATAAAAGCTGGTTATAATCTATCAGAAGGATAGACACTTAAAAAAAAATATTTTTGTTGTAATATTTAAAGAGAAACAGCTAATTAATCAACATACCCTACACAGGAAATCGAGTAAGGTAGCGGATATTGTGATATGAGATCTCGTAGAATGAAGCATAATCAAAATGCCTGGTTCTGCATACAAATAAGTTTCAGTTAGTCATCAGCATAGATACGGCATTTGTTATTATAGCAAATAACCTATATTCATAATATTTTCCTGTCCAGGTTGATAACATAGCCAATCAAAGAATAACGTTAATTTTGCGTTAGCGGATGTTGCATTATTCTATTTGCAAAAAAATTAAACGCATTTTATTTTACTACGTATATAAAGCAAGATAAAGTTACATATAATAATGTAGATGGAAGTCTAGTGGTAGCAGTTTTTACTCGCAATCGTTGATTGGTAAATTAAATTTTTAAAGCGGTACCTGACAACATTGTAGCAACCACCCAATCACAGCCCATCTTGGAATGATATCTGATCCCAAGATCTCGTTGGTAGGATGAATTACTCCACAAATAAAGCGGATTATATCGCATAAAAGGGCATGACTTTCCGGATTGGCTAAATACTATTTTGCAGACGTAGGAAAAGAGTTGATAAAAATTTCGAAAACAAACACATATCCGCTGACTAAGAAATTATATTAAGTAAAAGTCAATCGATTTGCTTACTTTTTTCTGAAACCAATCCTGATATTTCTTTTGATGGCCTAACTTTACCTAGATTTCCAACATTGAAAACAGTAACCAGAGAATTAGAATTTGTTGATATATCACTGACATTAGTACAATATGCATTTTACGTGATAAATTTTTATGCATTAACGCTAACAAACTAGTTTAATTTGGGTTACCTTCGAAGTAAGAAAGACTAGTTTATTTTCCATATCTGGAGTTATACGACTGATTAAGAACTTGCGGGAAGTACGTAATTTTAGTAAGTGCGAGATACCTAATAAAATAGAACAAAATTATAGTACTAACTATACACTTTATAACTCGTCGTATACATGGAGGCTCTTTATAAAACGAACAATTACCAGTAAAATGAGGACTAAGTGATCGAGGATTATGTATAATGTCTTTCCAAAGAGTATTAAAGACAGGAATTCTAACAAATCAGGTTAAAAAATGATTCATGATCGAAAAGAAACTATAAATATCACTATCCGGTTCAAATATATTATATATATATATCACATCTTACTGGGCAACTGCTTGCAATAAACGTATGAGGTCGCGACCAATTTGAATGCAATCGGTAAACTATATTTGATAAATTGGAAAAATAAGGAAACTTTGTAAAAATTCATAATAACAATGGTATTGAAGAGAATGTAGAATTACTTTTTCTCTTAGTGTAGAACAGCAAAAGTCGATTTCTCGTTGCATTAAATGGTGCAATGGTGGCACAGAATGATCAAGTATCAGACGAAGGAACACGTATACTACGGCAGCCGTAAGAAAGTTGTAGCTAAATAGCCATGTCCTTGGATTAAATAAATAGATATTAATTGTAAATGTTCAAATTCCATCTACCGTTTAACGCTAATCGTAGAGATATATGACTTTTACTTATGTTCTTGAAATATATTCAATAGAGCTTCGATGTAATCAATGTTGGTACGACCAACATCTCCTCCTACAGTAAAACGATATCATAAAATATTGCAAATTACGCGACAGCATGTACTGCATGACAATGACAAAGTCGAGATATTCTTACCAATAATTTGTCTTAAGAGATAAAAGCACATCGCATCAGCTCCGGCTGCTGAAGATTTCACAAATTCAGTAAATAGCCATATAAGCTGTTTCAATGTAGAATAATATAGCATAAGGAGGGTGTAAGTCTGTGACATAATACTATTAGGAAAATTAACCTGATTCCGTGTACGTAGCTGGAATTTAAAAAACTTTTCAACAATAAGTTGATTGAGTTTCGTAAACGCCAAGGTAAGACCATCTCGTGATAAAAGAGTTAAATCACGATACGCCTGAGTTTTAATTATAATTATTTGATAACATTTACGATTAGAATTTAATAATTTGACTTAGCGTACAATGTGCCTGTAGTTGCAAATAGGAATCTTAAAAGTGGATTTCAATTGACATTAACTTACCTTTTGCGCAGCATTTTCGTCCGTTAAAATAGTGTAAAGTAAGCCAATGGTAACATCTTCATACTCTTGTTGTCCCTTGCATACCTATGAAATGGCGATATGCTAATGAATGGTATTTTACTTTCTACTAGAGTAATTGCTTACTTTTTGCATTTCTGACGTGCACTGATATAGCGATAGACAGTATATCTAGGTTAAGTTATATATATAACGAAAGACGATATTACTTCTGTTAACATTGAATTGAAAAGTAAACAACGTAGCGGTCTATAATTAATTTATCAAGCTATCAATTAATTATTCGCATATATCTTACGTTCTGTTCCAGTAAAACATTACGGTAATCTAAGTTGAAAGTTCATATGATGTGACACATGTACTAGATTATTAAACTATTAATTACGGTGTCAATAAACTATCATGACCCATTATTACTCTACATTAGTATAAAGCATACAAGGCTCTAAGTAGTTTAATATAAATCTTACATCTTAATTTAATTATTGTAAATTCTAGAGATCAATTTGATATCCTAATTTGTATTTAATTTAGAAATACAATTCGTATTTTACATCTAATTTATTCCATACGAGTACTAATTAGTTCACATGTTATAATTCCTATGTAATGCAAAATTTTACAAATTACTAGACTGTTTATCATACATTAAAATTATTAGTCTGCATGGCTTACCGTTGAGCTTAAACTATCATGAGCATCTCTTTCGGATAAATTATTAGTTAACGATGTCAAAAATTGATGGCTCTTTTCCCATTTCTGAAATTATAAAGATGAAGACATTTAGCAACGCTACAATAGTAAAGATCTATCCATGGCTAGCAATAGGTCTATAACTACTTGATCCAGTTTATAAAAAATCAATGCAATATCATTAGTATTTTATATTTCAGGTCGATCATTATAGAGTAGCAACATTGTGCGCTTAAAGTCTATGTTAGGTATACACTCTTTCCTTTCTATGATTGAAATCATTTCGAAATTCTACATTTCAGGATCATTAATTACAGAGTCGAGAGATTGTAACCTTTTTAGTCTATGTCATTTATCTTTTAATTCTTTACTGCCAGCATTGATCTATTTACAAATAGTGTGTAATAACTTCAGTATTGTGCATTACAGGACAAACATTTACAGAGTCAAGACATTGTAACCTGTTAGATACAGTATGTTCTACTTCTAGACTGATGGGGAAATTTTGATTGCTTTGCATACGTTTCGATCATCGCTCTTTGTCACTGCGAATTTCAATAGCAACAAATGATGTTCGAGTTTGGCATTGCTGCTAGAACAAGGAGGAATTGAACTTTTGCACTGTAAAATTTGCGTTTTAGTTCATGCAGCATCACCGGCATGACTTGGCCGTGATTGTTGATCTACAAATCGAACTCAATCAATGCCAATTGATTACACCTGTTACTGCTAGCACGCATTCCGATGAGGATATCTATGACAACCTTGATCTGCAAAATGAGCCCAACTCATCAATCGATGAGTTGGGCTATTGTTTTGATAAGCAAGTTCTACCACTACAATATAGCGTGGTTGTTAAGCCATATACAGTACGACTAATCAATCTATCATTTAATTATTGTCCATTTTTAAGTTACTGAGCATAAGGTTAAGATTACTGCCATTGCATACAAGAAAACTAGGATAAAACAGCTTACTATGGATTACAACCTACTGGTTATAGCACGCCATGTTAGGAGTGCAGCGCTAGTATGAAAGTCGTCTATTGTTGGTATGATGCTCTTGCGATACGAATGGATTGAATCCTCTATGCCATGCATACTATCCTAGATTATGATACCATGAGCGATGATACTTTACATGGATATTAATCACTGTATAGATTGATGATTGAAGGCAGTGATAAATCAATTGGCTATCTAAACGACAACACTACAATATTCCCGTTGGACATGCACTACACGCTCAATGGGTAGTAGTCCAACGATCGCTTGTCGATGAACAACTTTGCAAATGAAATTCTACTACAGAGCAAGCATTTTCTTTGAATTGTGACGTATTTGAATAAAATTAAGAATTCTTTACTATTCATCATCTAACCTGGTCGAGTTCATCTCTTGCATCCAAGGCATTATTGATAAATAATTGGGATAACGGTCGAGTAGGAATCTCAGCAGCTGCAGCCATGTTGCTTTTTCCACTTGCGGGAGCTACAGTATACAGTACAACAGCGTCAACCGTGCTACAGTCCGCTATGCTCAATACGGTACTGTACACTGTACACTATGTCTACAATTGAATCCTATAGCGCAATCATGAAGCAGGACTGTATGTCGTGTATGGGCGACGATATAATCCTGGTTACTTATGGTTGAATTCCAGTCCGGGATTGATGCAATGCCTCAAATTATTTACTACAGCACAGTATTGGATCGATACCATGGTTCGGGACACATAACTCATTACACTCTCTTTTACAGTCTTCTCCTGTCGACATACAGTGTATAGTACGGTAGAGGATGCACTGTAGGGTTCAGTACTGTACACTGTACACTGTGCCCCGAAGCCTCCCAAAAAGAAAAGAATTTATTGCACTGGACTGGAGTATTCCATACTTCTAATTCATTTCTTTATACAATTTAAATTCAGCCATTTTCCTATAACACATCCAGAAAATGCCGCTCAATCTATCTGCCAGTTCTGGACAAATATACTAGAACAAGTATAATGAAGTATACTGCCATTTCAGCAGCATTTTCAATAGGTCTAGTCTTGACTGTCATGACTCATGAGACAGTCTACAGTAGGTACAACAAGGGGCAGAAAAATGACTGCGTCGTTACAGTACTTAGTACTGTGATACATTGTACTGTAGTACCGTACCAAAGTGTGTAAAATTCATGTCGCTCAAAATTCCAACGCTAAGTTCCAAATTTTTGACATCTATTTAACACTGTACTAAGGTACTTGCTATGCCGCACTGTTTGTACTCTTGCACTCAAGATGAGGAATATGGAGTGCAATGGATAGGTTAGAACTTATGGAATCCAGGTTAGCAATCTGCTGATCCGAAATTGGACTGGTTAACCAACTGTACTATGATCCAGTGTATTACACCGTCAATGGTTACGGTGGACCGGAAGGCTCAACACTTCAATTGTACAGTACTTGCTATGTTACGTTGTACCGTGGTAACAACCGTAACATACGAAAGTGTGCAAAATATATGTCGCTGAAAATTGTGACGCTAAACCCCAATTTCTAGACATCGATTGAATTCCTTGCATGCACTAGAACAGCTTAGTGGACGTAATGTGCTTTTTGCAGTTATAGCACAAGAAACTGATCGGGTAAACTATTCTTTAGATTCTTCTGCTCGACTTGCTCTTTCCTCTCTCGTAGATAAAATAAAATTATGAATAAACGCATTTAAAATTGCCTGTCTAAATCTTCCTATTTGCTTGACTCGTCCAGATACGAGGTGAAGAGCACCTCTAATCCCTACTCTACTTCTTTCGAGCACAGCTAAAGCTCACACAAATTTTCAGTAATATCAATGGAATTGTACGCACCAGAATAGAATTTATATATCTTAAAGACTGAAAACGTTCATAGGGATGACAGTATTAGATCCTGTGCTAAATCTGGTGTCAGAGTTGAAAATACCCGTATAATGAAAAATTAACGTGAACGAGTGCATCTACAAACTAAATAATATCGAATAAAATTAACAGCATTGATATTATTCATTGGGTAGACAAGTAATGTTAAAATGCAGCAAATCATGACCCAAGAAATTTTATTCATTTGTATTGAATAGGTGTAGGCTGAGTGTACAGTCTACCAACGTTAAATTAAAGCAAGGGCATCGCAACTTCGCTAAGCACTTAATAAACGTGTTGATATTCACATTATTAATAGCATCAAACGGTGGAATTATACAATTACGGTTATTGACATTTGCAACATTACTATTCATTATAACAAGTTGTAAAGGTCAAATGATAAAATTCATTACGAACAAATTCAAGGCAATAAAAAATCCTTATTTGATTGGTATATAATATTATAGCTATGCATTTAAGTAACTAAAGTAGAAAAGATACACAAGCCAAAGCAAAACTTGTCAAATTAGAGATAGATAACGGCAATCTGACATATAGTATTTTACTACATAGCGAAAGTTTTCAATGGTACGTATTGAAGTCTATATTACAGGTAAGCTGAGAAATATGAAGATTCAAGAGGACATGATTCATTCGTCAATATGCTATCTTCTGTAATGAAAACCATCTAATTCGTTAACTTTCCACTTTGTCGCCGGTCCAATTCTTATGTATTTCGTACTGGATGCATGGAGCAGGATGGAAAATGACAGAAAAGCAAAGTACACGTCTGTTACTGAACTATACTGCCCTGAGCATGCACTGTTAGAATGGTAGCTGGGCATAAATACAGCTGGATAGATACATCAGTAAATCAATAAAAATGGAAGAAATATCGTATAACAGATCAAATATGTCATTCGCCGGTGAAAATAGGCTGTAAATGCAATAGCAATTCAAATTTGAATAGGACTATTGGTGTACAGCAGAGTATTGACCTACTGAATATATTCAGAGACAGTATCAACAGCTCACTATTCATCATTACATATCCAGTGAATAAATGGGCAGTTAAGTAGAGTCAATGAATACACAACTGGCAAGTTGTAGTTAACAAATTAAAGGTTACTCTTTGTAATAACAATTAATCCCTCTAGTACTCAATGTCATTACGCTCCATTTTACGATAATACTCAAATTATATTTTAAAAAAAATAAATGTAGCATATTGTCTTATTTAGAACCGGCTCGAGTCAATTATTCAAAACTAGTGCTTTCCATTTCAGGCATTAGAACTATTGTACAATCTTAAACATGTTGACTAGCGTTGAACGCAAACCTATAGAACAGTTCAAGTTTTGTTATCCGTCTCTCTTGAGGTAAAAATCTACAGTTACAATTTACATGAAAAATAAAATTGAAATTAAATCAATGCTTTTATCTGCAAAATTTACATAACGACAATTTGCAAGTATAGTCTAAGCTGGTAGTAAGATCTTTCATGATCCGTTATAACAATTTCCGTTTGTCATATAATGTTGTTGATACTTTCGGTACAAATATTTATAGTCCAGACATTTAAGATAGTACAGCTGCACTTTTACTTGGAAGGGGATTGAGGCTAATATAACGTTTTACATTTGGACGAGAATGCTCAGGCCAATTCTCATTAGTTATTCTATTCATTGCCTGTAGGTTGAAAAATGATAATAAATAAGAGATTGCTTTGCTTTCCTAATACAATATTGTTTCTATGTGAGTCGACTATCATACGCTTTGATACATAGGAATAACGTTTACCTCTAACTTTCTCGCTCTTTCTGTACTGAGAGGTTCAGTAGGTAATATGTAATTATTTTCATCGGCAACAGTTCTTAAATCAAAGTAATATTTGGCATAAATACTAGACGGAACATTGATATTAAACATGATCAACTGAAGGATTTCTCTTTCTAACGCATTCCTATCATATCCAGAATAGAAAGTCAAAAAAAGTTACTCTTTTCAATGAAGACATCAACGATAATTACTACGTAGATAAAGATCAATTAAATTTTAAAATCGCGAATGATTACATATTGAGAATAACATACATATCTTCGACTGTGGTATCCTTTAAAATTTGGCAGTAATCTATATTCCAAACTATTGAGCAAAATATAAAATGATATCTGAATATAGATATCTTCGATAGTAGTCTATAAAAAGTTATTAATGGAAAATGCACATTATAACACTATCAAGTACCCTTACCGGCTTGATCGTCCCATACTTTTGATGCTAATAAAATTGCGCCTAAAACTACTCGTCGCCAATTACTAGGATGAATATCAATCTCGGCATATTCCATTAATCGTTCCACATAAATTAAAGAAATAATGGCACATTCTGCAGTAAGCTAAAACCAACAAAATGAAATAAACAGTAATTCAGTAAAACCTCAATGAATCACTAAGAATACGCTACTATCAAAGAAATGGAGTAATAATGACCATTAAGCAGCTTCGATATTATTATTATTACTAATTAGTATAAAATATAGAACATTCATGATAGAAGACTTTAAATTACTGTTTTCCAGAAATAAGGCAGACAAGCTTACCTGTGCGGAAGAAAATAAAGTTTTGAAAAATTTATAGACATGGCGGTGCTCAGGTAAATTTATTATCGTCTCCTTTCTGACGGGCCGCTGTATTTTTGAAAAGTGAAAGATACTTATTCAAAATAAAAAGTAATCGTAATCATATCAAATTTACAGAACGGTAGCAAATCGGCAATCACCTTCAAGTTCAATAGCGTATTTCTATGTCATTATTATTAATAATAATAACTAAATCATGTAATGCACTCGTATTTTTCAGCGATAGTTGTATATAGTCTTGTGACAATACAACATTTTCATAACTAGTAGTAATTAGACTGACGACTTACTAACCATTAAAGGATGTAGTTCTTCATCGAAGATATCTTTAAGCCTGGGAGGATCATGTCTATACATACGTAAGGCAAAACATATAAAACTATTTTAAAACAAAGAATTTGATTTAAAATTGTTGACAAAGAGAATATGAAATGTAGCAGTAGTCTGTAGTCTTGACAACTATTGACATAATTACCGAAAAAAAAGGTAAAAAACTATACAACTTGTTTATAGCTTCAATCCGATCTCATAGATATTATGTATTGAAAGTAATAAACAGATTCTGTTGTCGATATTGAACAATCATTTTTTTACTTACGCTCCTTTCATTAGGTAACATACAGCCAATGATACACTAAGCGTGTTCAATTTGAAAGAAGGATTAACGATAGAAGAAAAAAGAACCATTTAAGGTCATAGGAAACGATTCATATTAATGATTCGATACAATAAAAATAGTAATCATGACTTATGGTTTATATGTTGTCATGTAATACCATATCACAGGTTAATTGTACAGTACTGTAGCGGTGAAGGCTTAGCGTCAAAAATTCTATGGTAGCTATTACACTTATGAAATCCATTCCATGCGAAAGACTGAGCTAGTTCAAACTAGATAGTTGCTGATATTATTATTTACTCAATAGTACAAAATGAGAGAGTGTAGCATTTTCAACCTAAGAAAGTCAATGTTATCGATGATGCAGCATAAAGTTAATTATGATCTAACCCAATTTGAACTCTTTTACTGCCATAATTGTTTAAAAATATCAACGTTAAAATCAATCTCTATGTTAAGAAAATGGTATGAACAACAACTGATCAACAACGGCTAAAAATATTTCTTTCACTTGTGACAAATTTGTCATCATAAACTGTAATCTAGCGCTTACCACTTTAGCGTACACCTTAAATTGGGTTGGCTTACAGTACTATCGTCCAGATAAATAGAAGAACATGAGCTATATCTTTTGTGTATAGTGCCATTCTTTATGAAAAAGAAAAGGTGAAATGATATAAATTAGATTTTTTTCAGCTATGTATTGCTACCTTTCATAAACCAACAATTAAAATGAAATTAAATATTTCACACGTTAGTCATTTACATAACTGGAATATAAATTATCAATTATGGCCATTTCTGACAATATATCTTATATGTCAAAGATCTTTCAATATCAATCAATCAATCAATTAATGATAACCGAAATTAACTGAAAATTTTTATCAAATTTATTTTTGAACATAAAGAATTTAAACGAATACAGGATCATTTTAATTATGGCTAGAATAGAAATTAGATTACAACGGAATTCTGTTGTTGGATTGAATATTATACAATCATGTGGATGTAGTTAATTGTAAGTTGACACTGAATGTCTCTAGTTACAAATTGGTTCAGTAAAATCGCAGACAGACACCATTTTTCATGACCATTTTATGGGTAACTTAAAACATTTCTCGCATCTATTCTTAACGCTGTTATTGAGTCCAAAATGAACAAGTAATAGTTTTCACTATAGCCAGTAGTCAACTTATTTTACATCATGTAAGACGTTAAATATGGTATCGTAATACGGTTTAACTTTATGTCATTTGTCCTCACTAGACTACTTATAACAAATTCCATAAGGTATAGTAACACAGCCTCAGACTATCAATTGATTAATCAACGAATCTACTTACTTCTCTTGAAATAATAGAATCTCTTTTACTTTTTAAAACTATCATTACTTTCAAATGAGTTCGAGTTGTATCACCATGGGGGTAATTTTTTTACAATCAATTTGTCATTAGATTGAATATATTATGCATTATTTATTTCTAACGATATTACTATTTCATCTATACAGTATTAAATAAGTATAACATTGTTATGTGGCACAATTCTACAATGTCTTTTTCTCAGTCTATAATAGTTATAATCCTTAGCATTTAAAGTGACTTTAAATCAAGAAGGAATGTGCAACCGACGTTATGGTGACATGATAGAAGTTGTCGAAGTTAGTTAAAAGCAAACTCTAAGTGTAATAATGAATATCTACCATGTTTGTATCAATAAATTGACTATGTTGAATTGGTAGTCGCGTCTACTATTGAATCAGTCAAATAGAATTACATCTCAAATCTACGAATTCCAGTTATTGCCAAACAAATGAAGTAAATGGACAACATGTATTAATCATTATTGTCCTAGTCTTGGATACCATAAGTATTTATACAACAATTAAAGGATTTTTTTTTTTTTTTGGCCAAGTGGTACAGTAATCGTTAAATAGTGTAGTAAGAGGGCCAACGTAATGTGAATGAATAACACAATTATTATTATTATTGGAGTACGTGAAGAACAGTATTATCGTGACAATATTTTGAAGAGTAATTATTCATTTTGACTGCAGGACATCAACTTGATGGGTATTATTACGGTAAATAAACTGTAGTTGAAATTTTATTTATTTGTATTTAATGATAAGAGTATTACTAGGCCAGATTATTTCCTGGTCATTATGTTGAAGAGGAACCCTAGGTAGCTGTTTGATGATACACATCCGATAAAATAGCAAGGATATTTTTTCTTAGCACCGTAGGCAAGAAAAAATTTGCGTTAATTGAAAAAGAAATAAAAGCTGCTATTAAATCAAATCGCATCAAAATAGCAGCAACGTATTGTGGCATTCTAACTAAGATAGAGAATCCTATTGGTGATATCATCGTAATAAATGTAGATTATCAATGTTAAGACAACATATTAAAGTAACTCTATATATCGAGGATAAAAAAGTCTTCAATAAAAAGTATAAATTTTAAAAATGGGGGGGGGGGGTTGAATTCTTGCATTAGAAGTATTTAAAAAGCAATGAATAGAAAGCAGCCTTTGTTATCCCGTCAGTAGTATAAGTTAAAGAAATCTGGCGAGCCCCTACTTCTAAAGTATCGTATTAGGAAACAATCAATAGAAACAAACCTCTACTTTAACCATTAATTTAATTTACGCTTAGAGTATCGCAACGTCATGTTAAGGATAGTTGAATTGATGAAGAAATCCATTGGGTAGGAATAGCAAAGAACTGCAAAGTGCAGTTGTATAAAAATATTACATAGTCTAGGTTGCAATAACTCATCTATTAATCTTGTAAGATAACATTGACAAGATTATCATGTTTCAAGTTGGATTGATGAAACCAATACTCAATGCTTGACCTTGTTATTGCGCGCTATTAACCACTAAGCGATGACGTACTTTTGATCAATGAATTGTTAATGTAATGAGGATAAAGATTGCAGTTTTGACTATCAAGCGAATACAGTTGAATTTCTTGTATCATCATTAATCCTATTGCTGTCTTACCTGATGCGATAAAAAACGTCGATTGCCTTTTCTTTTTCCACCTTGATAGAGAAAAATAAACAAAAAAAAGGCAATTTTATTTTGTGTTGAAGGAGATGGCATCGTGAACAATTAAAATTATATCAATCCATCGATTGAAGTTAATATCATTGTTATCGTATTCAATTTAGCACTTGATAGTAATAACGCCAGTAATATTCATGTTACTGGCCATCATTTGAATGATATAACTGTTATTACTCAATGATATTCTATTTTGACAGCAGATGATCAAAGTCAAATACATGTGGATTTTTCATCCTACTATGAAATACAATTTTAATGACCACATTGTAACTCGATGCAATCGCTATCATCTTATTAACCATCTTTGCCTACATCATCGCTCGTATGTGGATTAGTATAAGGGCCAAGGATGGAGATAGGGCAACATCCACATCCAACGCTATTTATTGACAAGAAAATTACTCATGGTGATGATGGTTTAAGTTGTTGTAGCTTTAGCAAGCTGAGTATTGTTTCAAGGGTATTGTATTGCCTGGACAAGAAGTCATATCGTCAAGACAAAACTATCAATAACAGATGAAAGACAAAAAAAAAATTGCTTCCATAGTGGGGCAAAATTGTGACCGTAGGTCATGAGTTAATACTACTGGATGTAGTTGTACAATCTGCTTATTTTATTCACTAGACTAGTGGATTAAAAAAAAAAATATTAAACAATCGGACGTAGACATTCTGTAGGGCATAGCATCAGGTTAATAAATATAAACCAAGTGACAACAACATCCATCCTATGCTTAGCAATGACTACAGGATATACTCTCTGGAGAAGGAGGGTATATCATAGAGTCATAAGTCCAATAGGGTTGAAAAAAACAAAAAAGAAACAACCCAATTAAGACGGTAGACTTTGGTGCTGCTCTATGTTATACGTAGATCATTTTCAATGCGATGGAGTATCGGCATGACTGAATTACTGTAGGATAACTGGTCATAACGATACAATCGATTGATACTAATTGGATAAATTTTAGTTAATTTATACAATACTTTCTTCGTCATCATTAAATCACTTCAAGTCAAGATATAGACTGAAAATACTCGTATTTTGATCGATCGTTGCAATAATCCATTGGCCAAGGTAAAGGGACTTGTAATACTGCCATGATAAAGCCCCCCCCCCCAAAAAAATAAATGTGGAAATACAAGACTATCGATCGTTTGGTAAATTGTACCCCATTGACCGACATCTCCAACATTAGATCGTATGTCGGTGCTTTTCAAGTTGGAAGGCCTTGAATATACAACACAGAGTACGTCTTAGCGTAGTCTATCAACGTTGCCGTTGAAAATGGAGTATTGGACTAAGCAAAACGATCGATACCCATGGCATTTTTAGTGTTATCAATGGCTTGACTGTATGCTTAGACAATTCCTAGTTAGCTGACAAAGCGTCCATTATCTTCTCCTTGAAATGATGAGAACTGGATGGAGAGCAGCTGCACTATTATAATGTGATAGGGAACAAGTGGAGAGAGTAATGGCAAAGCGTACAAGGGTAGAAACATGTCGGCTTGATTTTTCGAATCCTTGTCCACTTGGATGAGTGTTATTTATGGTTGGAGATGAACAAGACACTATCAGTGGATTTTGGCAATAAGGTGAAACAACTGGTGATGGAAGGATAGCCGTGGATGGATATTATTTGCTAAATGAATACTGCACTATGTACACAATATCAGGAATGAGGTGAAAAGTAGAACCTTTTATTTGTGTTGTTTTCTCCGCCCCAGATAGGATCGACTATCATGATTCCTAATATAGTGGATATGATGTAGGAAAGAGACAAGAGATAAAGGATGATCATAACAGACGAGTGATCGCATCACTGAATATGATCGCTTTGCGTTTTATCCGCAATGAAAGTGTTTATCCTATGCGTTGACCAAATCATTATTGAATGATTGAGAAAGGGATGATGAGACTAATGCGATTATACGATATGCAAGTAGTCAATTGAATAGGTAAGTGTTTACACCCAAGACAAGTTATCCTCTTCTCTCTATCCTTTGCTTACCGTTATTTTCGTAATGATGAATAAAAATGGTTTCTTTATGTTGCTGTGATAAATCTACACATCGATTGCAATCGGATAGCCAAAATAAAGGAAGAAGGATGATCGAGAAAGTAAAGAGAGAGAGAGAGAAAATAGTTATCCATCAAGTCCATTGAACGTTATCTACTGTAATACCATTTTAATGCTAGTCGTTATCAATAACAGATTGACTAGTGCCAAATCAATCTCTACGCTAATACAATGATAGATGAATCAGTTGGAGCTAATTAGCAAGACTATTCCCTTGTTGGACATGAAAAACTAAGCCACTATTGGCCTTGATGGCCATGAGATTGCAAAGAGGATAGTACTGACCTTCTCGATCGCTAATATGTTGAATGTTGGCATCGAGGCCAGGGCTATTGTCTTCCGAGGGTAGAGGATCGAAATCGTCATTGGCCGTGTTGGACGATGCAGTTAAGACACAACAATTGAGATTGCCCATCTGATCGTTTGAAGACGATGTTGACGAAAGGATCAGCAATGAAAGATCAAAGTCAGGCAGGCTCTATCCTTCCTGATCAAT